GGAAATTTTTCAATTTAATCACAATATGATGATCTTTGTGTTTTGTGTTGTGGATTTTGCATTAACATCTATTTTATCAGAGATTATATTGCCACTCCTGCTCTGTTTTTGGTTACTGTTTACAAACCACAGAGGATACAGTCTTACCCATTCTTTGATTTTCAGTGTGTGTGTTTAAGATATGCCTCTTATAGATAACATATTGGTGGGTCATGCTTTTTTCACCCATTCTGCCATTCATTCTTGACTATAACTATGCCACGTATTCCCATTTGTCTTAGTTCTCTAGTGCTTGCTATCACAGAAATACCTACAAGTAGATGACTCTAAGGAGCTCTGGTAGCGTAGTGATGACGAATCGGGCTGCAAACCTCAAGGTCAACAGTTCGAAACTACCAGCTGTTCCTCAGGAGAAAGATGAGGCTTTCTGTTTCCATAAAGATTTACAACCTCGGAAACCCTGTACAGGGTCGCTATGAGTCAGAACCGACTCCACGGCACATAACAACAACAAGGTGACTTTAACAAATGTATTCTTTCACAATTAGGAGTCAAGAAGTTTGACCTCAGTTCAGTAGCTCTGGGAGGCTTTCTCTCTCTGTTGGTTTTGGGGGAAGTCCTTGTCATCAGTCTTCCCCTGGATCCAAGAGTTTCTCAGCGTAGGGACTTGGGTCCAAAGGACATGCTCTATTCATTCCAGTCTTCCTTCTTAGTGTTAGTAGGGACTTCTGATCGCTGCTTGCTTATTTAATCACTTTTATATCTCAAAAGGGATAGAATGAAGACAGCTTAATCCTGTAAATTTTGTCTTGTATTATAAACATCATAGATACCATAACTGCTTCTAATCCAGCCTAATTAACCTCATGTTGTTGTTGTTAAGTGCCTTTGAGTCAGTTCCAACTCATAGCAGCCCTGTATAGGGTTTCCAAGAAGCAACTGATGGGTTTCAACTGCCAGCCATGTGGTTAGCAGTCCAGTGCTTATATTGATTATAGCACCACACCAGGATTTCCATTAACATCAATTTACAAACAACACATAAAATAATTATATCAGATCACAAACTGGTGGATAATTACATAATCCTAAGAATCATGGCCTACCTAAACTGCCACGTATTTTGGGGGGACACAATTCAATCTATAAGACATCTTTTACTTTTAAAGTTGTTATTTATAGATTGACTCTTCGTTGCCCTATTTTAACTCTTGCAGTTTTCATTTTATTTTTGAGAATTATTTATCTGAGTTGGGATCTGGTTGCTGCAAAATCCGTCTTAATCTCAGATTATGGTTGAATGTTGTTGGTTTTCTGTCCGTAGGACTCTCTTTAATATTTCTTGTAAAATTGGTGTAGTTCTTATAAGTTCCCTAGTTTCCTATTTGAGAGACAGTTTTACTGGATATGTATTTCTTAGTTGACAATTTGTTTTCCTTTCAGCATTTTATATATGTTCATCCCATTGCCTTCTTGCCTACATGGCTTTTGTTGAAACATTAGAGTTTATTCTTATGGGTTCCCCTTTGCAGCCAGCATTTTATTTTTGCTAAGCTACTCTTTTATATGGGGTTTGTTGAGCTTCTTGAATGGGTATCAGTTTTCCTTCATGACATTAGGGAATTTTTCTGCTAGCAAATTTGAAAATTTCTCTGTACTTTTTTTTTTTTTTTCTGTTTCTTCCTGTTCTGGAATCCTGGAATGCATAGATTATTCTTTTTTATAGTGTGCCACATAGGTCTTAGACTTCATTTTCTTTGCTCTTTTGTCTAATTGTTCTTCAAACAAATTAGTGTCAAGGGATTTTTCCTATTTTGCTGATTCTGTTTTTCATTGCTTCAATTCTACTCCTGTATCATTCCATTGGGAGGCCTGGTGTGGCGCTGCAGGATAATGTGCTGGACCTCATGAGGTTAGCAGTTCAAACCCACCAGCTGCTCCTTGAGAATCCCTATACAGGGTTATGAGTCAGAATGACTTGCTAGTACTTAAGAACAATCCTTCCGTTGAGTTACCTATTTCTGAAATTTTACTATTAATCTTCTGGGTTTGTAGTTGCTATTTTCATATGATTTCTAATTGTCTATTTGTTTTGTTATTTTGTTCTTGTGTTGTTTTCCTCAAATCTTCCAGAGTTCTGTGTTTTCCTTGATTTTATCTGTGTTTTTATTGACCTCTTTATCTTTTGGAGAGTCATAAATATAGTAATAGATAGATAGACAGACAGATACCTTTTAAATTCCTTACCAGGTAGTTGTAGTATGATTTCTTCCTCTTTAAGGTTTTCTGGCCCTTTATTTTGGTCATTTGCTTGAACCATCTGTTCTACTACTTTTTATGATTTGATATTGTCTATTGTGTACAAGGGGTCCTGGAATGACACTGTGCTGGACTGCAAAGTTGGTTTGAACCACAAAGTCAGCAGTTCAACCTCACCAGTCACTCCTTGGAACCAGGGTTCCTATGGGTCAGAACTGACTTGACAGCACATTGCAACAACAATAATTGTGTCCAAGGCATTAAGTATCACTTTATTGATTGATTACATGTTTATTTGCTTTGTTTTGATATATCCAGCCAGGTGGGATGGGTATGCTCTGCTGGTCACTCACACGTGTCTCCCATAGGTGAGGCAGTGTCTGGCAGTTTAAGCACGGTGTTTGGCTGCTTGTGTGGAGTAGTGAGGCAGGCGGAGTGGATAATGGCTGCAGTCTGTTTTCATCTAGTAGCACAGGAGTGTACAATATTGCATATTGAGCAGGTGGGGCAACAGGTGTGAAGGATATGGTGGGCAAGTGGGGGCACAGGAGTAGGCTCTCTTCTGCTTTTGAGGTTGGCAGGCAGGGTCGGATAGCGAGCGGGTTAGGGGTATTCAGGAGTATACTCTGCATATAGCTGGCTTCGGGGGATATTTGACAGATTCATGGTCTTGGCCACCTGCGAGCTCGGGGGTGAGGTGGGTGGAGGGCAGGCAAACATGGGAGCAGGACCATGGTGGCAAGTGTGCAAGAGCACAGTCATTGCCACTCCACTCATGAGGTGGGGATGGGATGACTTGTTAGCTGAGTCTGGGGCTGGATGGCATTGTTTGATGGTTGAGTCCTGCTCCCAACTAAGTTTGAGGAGTGAAGGTACTGCTCAGAGTCCATTTGTGTTTGAGACTTCCCACTGATCTGCTCTTTCCTGCACATCATCCACCTTGATGGTCTGGGATTACCATTCATGAGTATAGCTGACTCCAAGTCCTGGCTCCCTCCCTACTATGTGGATACCAGGATGCCTGGAACTCCCATTCACCTTGCTTTCCTCCACATGTGTCAACACAGCTTCTGTTTCTTGTTGGCAGTGCCGTGAAGTTGCCTTCATGTGTGTCTCGCTCCGGGCCGCCACTGACTTTGTCTCAAAATGACCACACTGACGCAGGATGACTGGCAGTGCACCTCACTCATTAGTCACTGTGTTCTTTCAATTTCGTACTCCAGTTGGTATTCAATTCGATTTGATGTCCTTCTACTTGCTGTTCAAGGATCCAGGATTGTCGTCTGCATCTGTTTCTCAGATCTTTGGTGTAGCAGAGCAGCATGGTGTATCCAATTAAGACACCTTACCAGAAAGTTGTTTTGTATTTAATGGCTTTTAAAAATTTTTATTGTTAACACACAAAAAAAGGAAAACTAACAAAATAAGACTCATTCTTATATTCTCTTAGTCTTTTTCTTCCTTGTTTTTACTTTAGTAAAATTGAAAAAGGACTAAAATCTAGAAAACAAAATAGAATCCATAGGTGGAAAATAAAATGTTACATTTTTAACAACTTATTTATAAGAATTTTTAAATTTAAATATATATATATGCTTTAAATATAGAAATCTCAAATAAAATAAAAGCAGAAAACAGAGATAAGAAATAAGTATTTCTAGTATTTTTTGTTCATTAAATCATCTGGAGAACTTATAAAAATGTGCATTCATTCCTGGTACCATCTCCAGGTATTCTCAGTTGGTATAAGTTGGAGAATCAGGAAATCTGCATTTTTAAAAGCAACGCAGAGGATTCTGGTGCAAATGATCTGAACACCATGTTTGAAAATCACTTTGATTCGTAACAAGAGTATTAATTTCCTGCTGCTCCTGCAACAAATTAGCCCAAACATAATAGCTTAAAACAACACAAATTTATAATTCTTGAAGTCAGAAGTTCAAAATTTTTCTCGCTGGGCTAATGTCATGTTGTCACCTTCGCTGGAAGCACTTTCAGGTGTCACAGAGCCCTTCTATGATGGTCAGTTTGGCCCGGACACTCACTGAATCCATCATGTTCACATTGTCAAATGGCTAGACAAGGTTAGAAAAGTGTCTGGTGATGATGAGAGAGGGGGTTTCCCATCTTACCTCTTGAGAGAATATAATTTTTTTTTTTAATCTATAAACTATGAATTTTTTTAATAGACTGATACTCTGAGCTTCTTAAGTTGGTAAGACATTAAATTATTCATCATGTTATTTTTCTATCAGATGATTTTGTGGTTTATTGATAATGTCTAAATTTCAGTGCCATTGACAGCTCATTCTACAGCACTCATTGAAGGTATTGGCATTTCCCCAACTAGACTGTGGTTAAGTACACTGGAGAAAAAGGTTTGTTATGGAGTTGTTGTTCAAGCTACAGGAGAACAAACCAAGCATGTTGCCAGCCACCCACTCCAAAACTCAGTGCAAGTAAAATAATGGCTTTGGAGGTTGTTTATTCTATTTCCTTAATAACCAGGCCGTCACTATTGTTTTCAGGGAATCAGCATAGAAAGGCAGTGTGTGATGTGAATCTAAACTCCCCTTATAAATAGGGCCAAACACCAAAGCTTTTAGGACATAGGCTGAATACCCTTTGCTAATTCTAGTAACATTTGGTTTACAGGGACTTTTGCCAAAGTGAAGTGTGTTTCCTTTAATGATTTAAAATATAAGGAGTAATATCCTTTTCTCATTTCAAAAATTGTCTAGGTGGCTGAAGAACATCACTCTTTGACAATACAAAGGAAATGCCTACTGACCTGGTTCCAGTGTAGTCAGGAAAACCTGGCTAGAAAGGCAGCCCAGGCTGATCACTTTTATTCCCAAATGTTGCTTCGGAGAGGAATGTGGAGCTGGCTATGGGTAAGGCCACAGGGAAGGGCACTATGATACAACTAACTGCTCAGTCCTATAGAAGAAAACGAGATGGAATCCAGGGTGTCTATGGTCATCATGATTTTTCAAGAACGATAAAGTCAATATAATTTGTTGTCTTGAAATCAATTTGAAAATGTCAAATTAATTGTTAACATAAAATCTTAAAATGTTTGTGTTCAGTTGTATAACCACATCATTATATCAGCTTCATTTTTTGTTTACTCGTTTCCTGTTCCATAGTGCTCCAATATTAGTAACCTAGTCCCATAGTTCAGTAACAGTTTCTACCCCTCTGCTTGTTATTTTTTTAATTTCATTACACAGCATATGATCTCAACTACGTGTTTATCCCTTTTTTCTTCATGCCTTTAGTTCCCTTGTTTTGTTTCTGTGTCAGTTTCCTCTTCTGCACTGCTTATTTGCTCTAATTTTTTGACTGCTAGTAGTACTCACTTCTATTCTTGTTCTCATTCCCCAGTACCTGGCTGATGTAAAGGAAGAAGTAAGAAAACTTTATGCGCATTTTCTCCAGAAGAAAATTTTCAAAGCCTGGCTTACCATGGTCAGGGAGGCCAAGATGGATTCTCAGAGCAAGTACAGGATTGCAGAGGAGCACAGTGAAAGGTAAGCCGTGTAGAACTCTCAGTGACTTCACGATTGTTCTGCAGTGCTGTGTCTGGAACAGGTCTGAACAGACCATGTGGAGGCTGTGAGAGCAGGGCCCTCGGAGACACTAGGCAGGAGCAGGAATCCCAGCTCATCCTCTTACTGGGTGAGGGCAAGAGAGTAAGCCCCCTGGAGCTCCAGGCTTCCATCTGTATAGTGAGGAGACTGAACATACCTGTCATCTCTCCCTCACAGAGACCAAGAATAAAAGCAGATGCACTGGATTCTTTATTAGTCACACAGTTGTTTTGGGGGTGTGTGTTTAAGTTCAGTTCCTTATTAGGAAAGATAACAAATATAGGTAAGTGCTTAAATCATACAAATGTAGCTTACTGACTTTCTGTGAACACTCTTATCACCACCACTGAGGTCAAGAAATAGAATATCGTTAGCCGCAGGAACTCTCACAGGCTCCATCCCAATCATAAGCCCCTCCTTCCTCCTAAAGGGAACGCCTCCCTCCAGACTTTTATAATAATGGACACATCATTGCTTCTCTTTTTAATTTTACCTCCTAACTTTGTAGCCATCAACACCATAATTTTGCTTGGTTTTGAACTTTATATGACTGGAACCATGCTGTATGTCAAATTTAGATTTTAACACAGTGATATATTTAATACAGCACCTTTGAAGAATTAAAATATTCTATATATACATTTTTGTATTTTAATTGTATTTTCGATAAAAATTTTATTATGTACTTACCGCCCCCTTTTTTTTTTTTTTAAACTTTTTACTGTGAATAGAGTGAAGGTTTATAGAGCAGATCATCAGTTTTATATCCAATAAATCACACACTGTTTCATCTCAATGATTGCAATCTCCTCCCTGTAACAACAGTTATCCTACTTCCTCCCTGCGGTTTCCATTTCCATTCCACCCTCTTTCCCAGCCCTTCAGAACTTTGTCCCCAGGTAAATCCTGCCCATTTGATCTTGAATAGTTGACCAATCCATGGTGACCATGCCTTACTAGTGTTGTTGTCTGCCCTATATACTTATCTACCACCACGAAGTCAAATTGAGCCACAAGGATAAGTTCAGCTCCAGACCTAAAGGGTGACCAAGAACCATAGTCTTGTGTTCCTCCAGCCACTTTACAACTAGTAAGTCTGGCCTGTTTTTGTAATTTTCAGTTTTGTTCCATATTTTCTCCCACTTTTTCTGGGAGATCCCTTTCAGAACTGTTGATAGTGGTAATTAGGCACCATCTAGTTCTGGTCTCAGTCGTGGAGCCTGATAGTCACGTGGTCCATTAGTCTGTTGGGCTGATTGATTCCAAGCATCTTCCGTTCTCATCACTTTTCTTTCCTCCTCACATGGAGAGACCAATAGTTGCTGTTCATGAGCTATGTACTTCCCTCTGAGATTTAAAAAAAAATATTGAGCTGTCATTTTTTGAAGATTTGATGTTATTCAGTGATGCTCCCATGTTGATAGGTGTGAAGAATATTGTGTAGGTATAGATGAGTCCCTTTCTTTTTGTCCTCAGATTCATTTTTGTTAGCTTTGTTTTCTTATGAATGTGCACGTGTGTCTGTTCACAGTATTTTTCTCATCTTGTTGCCAGTAAAGTGCCCACCTCCAGGAAAATCTGCTCATCTTTAATTTACGGTACTGAAAATCTTCATGAGAAAGCATTGCTCTGACTTCAATTGCTTCCCATTTTGCTCCTTGCTTACCATGTCTCAGCACCTCAGACAGGCAGATCTTTGCTATTCAGAGCTCTCCCATGGCCTGGATCTTCAGAGATTCCTCCTTCTCCTCATTCAGATCTCTGTTCAAATATAACTCCCCTGACCAATGTACCTCCATGCCTGTCTATCCCATTAACCTGCCCTGGACTGCAAACCACGAGGTCGGAAGTTCTAAGCTGCTCCTTAGAAACCCTGTACAGGGCCACTATGAGTCGGAACCGACTCTATGGCATTAACAACAATTTCCCTCTTAGCACATAGGACTCTGTGAATTTAGGTTATTATTTATGTGTCTGCTGTCCATCTGCCTGCTGTCTGTCCTTCCAGATAACGTCTTACCACTGTGCTCTGTCCACGGCAGTGCCTAGTACATGTGTGCACAGTCAGTGTTTGCTGAATAAATGAATTTTATTGCAGGATCGACACGAGTATTTAAAGTCACAGGTCTTTTTAATTGAACTTTTAACATTAAATAATGGACAGTGTTATTAATCAGTATGGTGTGAATCAAAGGACATCATACAGAAAAGCTGTGAGGAAAAGGGGGGAGAGACGTCTATTAACTTGAGGCCTGATCTCTAAATTGCACTAACAATGAGAAAATGATTCCTAATAAGAACATGATATTTTAACTTTACTTATCTGTATCGCTGTGGGTTAGGCACTGGGCTGCAAGATCAGTGGTTCAAAACCATCAGCTGCTCTGCAAAGAAAGAGGTTTACTCTCCTAAAGATGTACAGTCTCCGTAACTCTAAAGAGCTGTTCTACTCTGTCCTATCGGGTCGCTCTGAATCAGAATTGGCTCGGCAGCAAGCATGGGAAATCACTTTTAGACAATGTTATACACCTGTAATTTATACAGGGTGGGGCTAGCAGAGAGCCCCACGCCTTAGTCTCTTATTATCAGCAGTCCTCTTTTAGTTTTAGTCAGAGCTCTGCTACACATTTGTCCCATTCTTTTCAACTGTATTCCACAGACTTGGTTAGCAAAAAGATATATGAGAGAAAGATGGGTCGTTTTTCTAATAGTACCTTGGTACTATAGTTCTTATCCATTTTGTAGTTGTACATCTCTCTGAGTTAATACTAAAAACTACAGAGCTACATCCCACAAAATGCAGTTTGTGGACCTCGGGTTAAGAACTCCTACCTTTGTGACTTAAATCATGCTTCTTGATGCAATAGATCCACATATAATCAAGAAATATTTGCCAAACATAAAAAAAACTTAAGATGGCCCCTGGCTCTCATAATTCAGTAGAAAATATAACAGATTAGGTAGGTAGGTTTATACACATACATGCACACATACATCTACAGATACATGCATTAATATGAAGGTAGAGAAGGGAAGAGAGCGAGAACTGGCTGTAAACAGGTGTCATATCAGTGACATTGAACACATGCTTTCACAGCTCAGAGGAAGGAAACATAAATATAGGCAAGGCTGATCTAGATGACATCCCCAAGGAGGCATGTCAGGGGAGAACATTGGGAGTTACAATGTGGAGGACAGAAAACAGATGTAGATAAGAGAGATGTGAACAGCAGGCGAGGGAGCTAGAGTGAAGGAAGGCTGGAGAGTTGGCCATATAGCCAAGTACAGGAAGCTGTAAGTGGTGGACTTGATGGATAAGAGAAGAAGACAAATGAGGCAGCTACACTTTTTATACCTCCCTCCATTTTCTAATACCTTCACAGTAATACCTCCACCAACAAACCTCAAGATGATCAAAAATGCCCAACAATCAACAGACATAAAATTCATGAAGATTGAGATACATTGAAGACTTCAGTAAATGGTCAAGATGCCATCTAATCAAGATGCCTGTACTTGTGAAAGTATAAACTTAGCTAGTCCACACTTTTCAACAACAGAACTTTGCTTGTCATTCCTCACACACATTATGGTAGTCTTGCCCCTCTGCTTAAAGATGTGCCCTCTTAGTCTTCTCCTCTGCATAAAGATGTGCCTTCTTCTAGGGAAGTTATTTCCTTTGCCCAGAAAAGATTCAATTCACTGTCTTCTCCAAACTTGCATTCCTTACTACCAAACATGGCCATACCCTGTTCCTGTCTCCATCACTGTGCCAGCTCCACTGTGCTGAAATCTCTACCTTCTTCCAGGCAGACCATCTTCTTATTGTCTGTCACAGGCACTAGTAAATCCTGTAAGGAATGCTTTCCTAACACCCACTGCATGCCTCCCCACGACAATAAAATTTCAGTTTCAACATGATATCCTGCATGACCACTGTTGTTAAGTGACCTCCAGTCTGTTCCAACTTGTAGTGACCCCTATGTCCAACACATCAAAACATTGCCCAACATCTACAGCATCCTCACAATTGTTAGTTTTGTGCCCACTGTTACAACCACTGTGTTAACTCATCTTGTTGGGAGTCTTCCTCTTTTTTCCGACACTCTAATTTACTAAACATAATTTTTCTTCTCCAGGGATTGGTCCCTTCTGGTAACATGTCCAAAGTATGAGACACAGTCGTACCATCCCTGCATTTATGGAGCATTCTGGCTGAACTCCTTCCAAGACTGATTTGTTCATTCGTTCTTCTAGCAATCCATGGTATTTTCAGTATTTTTCTCCAACACCATAATTCAAATCAATTATAAATCATAAATCGATTCTTCAGTCTTCCTTATTGTCTATTCAGCTTTCACATGAATATGTTGTTGTTGCTAAGTGCCATTGAGTCAATTCCAAGTCATAGCAACCCTACATAGGGTTTCCGAGGAGCGGACTGTGGATTTGAACCACCAATTTGGCCATACCCTGTGACTGTCTCCTGCACTATGCCATCTCCACTGTGCTGAAATGATGTTGACCACTTTACCTTCTTCCAGGCAGACTTTCTTTTTACTATTATGTCTCAGTGCTCAGCTGTCAAAGGCACTAGTAAATCCTGTGCTTATCCTACAGCGCCACACCAAGACTCCCACACACCTATGAGGCAACTAAAAATACCATGGCTTGGGTCAAGCACACCTTAGTCCTCACACTGACATCTTTGCTTTTTAACACTGTATTACTTTTTGCAGCAGCAGCAGTAAATTTGCCCAATGCAATGTTATTTGATTTCTTGACTGCCATTTCCTTGAGTATTGATTGTAGATCAAAGCAAAATTTAAGTCTTGACAATGTCAATCTTTTCTGTTTATCATGATGTTATCTGTTGGTCTAGTTATTGGAATTTTTCTCTTGAGATGTAATCCATACTGAAGGCTGTAGTCTTTGATCTTTAATAAGTGCTTCAAGAACTTGATGTTAGGATGATTTTTCTCCACAGAAACTTGACTGTCATTCTTTTGTCATTGGAGGTTAACAACAGGCTTTTTAGATAATAAGAAGCACTGAGGTCTTGATGCCTATTAATGGCACGTACTACAGGGGATTTCCCAGCATTCTTTACCTTGAGGGCTTTGACTGCTGAGCCCTTGCTGGTATTATCATTGTTGGCATGGGCACAGTGTACAGGCTGTAATAAGAACAGAGGAGCGTGTCTCATAGCCTGGGATATTAGAGGTCACTGGGTGCTCTACTTAGATGTCATCTTCTCAGACCACCTGCTGAAAGCAAAAATAACCTGCCAATCACTCTCACCCATTTTGTTGCTTTATTTTCTTTATAGGACTTCTGACTCTCAGTTGAGATTTCTACACATTTACTACAACATTTTATTCACATGAAGTTTAGAATGTACTTCAGATAGAAAGTCAACGTTTTCCTTAGTATTTGACTTTTTTTTTTTCTCCTCCTTTTTAAAGGAAGATTTTCAGGACCACATTTCAGACATGGAAGCAGTCTGCAAGATTTATGAAAGAGGAAAGACTAAAAGAAGAAAGGAGAGAACACCTCCGTAGGAAGGTGGCTGAAATTCTCCCAGACTTTCAGATGCTGGCACCTCCGTGACTGTTAGTTAGCTGTACCCACAGTGTGACACTCTGATACTCAGCCCTATGTAAGAGAAGTCTTTGATGTGCCAATGAACTTGAACCAGCACAATGCTTGGGAGGAGAGTTACAGTTGGTCCATAACATTTATTTGCTATGGCCACTAACCCACCTACATACTTATATACACTGGGTTTGTTTTCAGGTATTTCTTAGATCAAAGGAGTTACTTAAGAAATTTGTTTTTCATTCTTTGATTTCTCATGGATTGCTAATCAGTTCACTAAGGGATTTATCACAACAGGATATTCCAAAGAATAGTCAAGAGTGCAACTGTTCAAATGCATCCTATTTATTTTTAATGTAATAAACTTTAAAAATAACAAGTGTGTGCTTGCCTGAAGCTGTGCAGGAAAACATGTGCCCTTATAGCTTAAGGTAAGTTTGTGATCAATGTGTCTTTAATAGAAGTGAAAAGTAGTGAATACTCAAAAGAGAAGGTTTATTAGGAAGTCGGTGTTCTAGGACTTCAGCACCACAGACTGACAACCTACCAGATCCCATCCTCTTGGGCCACCTGTAATGGGAAACTATGTTTTACAAGGTACCCTGAATAGTTACTGCAAAGAGTAGCAACTGATCCCAATTTCAGAGAAACTGGGATACCAAAGACCACTTCTCTGGAGTGTACCTTGATAAGCAAGAGGTACCATTAATAAAGTGAATGATTATCAAAAGCAACCCAGCAGTTCATTAATGTCTGTTCGGGATCCTGACTGCAATTTCTACATAATATATTCATAATTTATCTTCTAGTCCTCACCTTAGAGCTAGATAATCTAAATATATGTTACCAATTCAAAGTATGTTCTAATCTTTAAGGTGCTATGGAATACAAAAAATGATAAATTCTTCTGTAAATTTAAAGACTTACCTGCTAGGAAAATGCTTCCTAACAAAATACAATTTTATTTTAACAAATTCTAGTAGTCCAGTAATGCAGTAAAGTAAATGCACACCATAAAACAAGAAATCCCCTTCCAGCCTTGAGGTAGCTACTGTTTGTTGTGTTGGAAATTTGAGTTGGTAAAATAGGTTTCTATGGTCATCCAAGTGAATATTCCTATTATTGTCTCTTTTTAGAAGGGGTAGCTAGCTACACCACCTGCAAAATGACTGATTTTCCTGTGGCAGATATGCAATCATCTCAGACATGACAGGAAGCCTTAGGTTGATTTCTACATTATCTCTGTCCCTATACAGCTTTCCTTTAAGGATTATACAATTGCCTGAAAATTCACATGTTTTGTCTTAAGACTAAAAAGGCCACTAAAGTAAATGAGAATAAAAAGTACTTCAGATTTATCTCTTTCCATCTAAATCGGAATCTTTATCTCATACTAACTATAACACAGTTGTATAGTACTGGCTAAGATTAGTACCCAGAAATCAAATGCCTATTTTACTTTAATGCCAAGCCTGTAAGAAAAGGGTGAATCTCTTGTGTAAAAGAATTCCATAAAGCTCAAGTTTTCTCTCTTAAAGCTTTCTATTTGTTTTAACTTCGTCTCAAGCATCAACTAGAAATTGAGTCTTAAGGCTATATTCTGATTGGGCCAACTATTTTTTTTTACCTATTTATTGAAATGTCTGAAAAGTTGTAAGGAAAATCATTTTGGTACTGCTTCTTGCAGGAACATCTTAAAGGTGGGATTTGAAATGCTACTGCTAGCCTAACGCCCAAGTAAGCAATATCCCTGACCTACAAAACAGGGAAAACAGCCACTAGGAAAATGCTAGTTTAAAACTAGGGAGAGATCCTCATATGGGAAAATCTAGGTAACCAAGAGGCAGCACAGCTGTATTACAGGGGTTCTCATAAAAAGCAAAAACATTCAATAGATAAATACCAAGAAATACCAACTATTTTCTTTTAAGGAAAGCACTTTATTTTCCATTTAGACAAGTTGGTCACAGTACATTGTTTGACATAAATGGCAGTAAAATTTTAAATCTCCATTTAAAAGGCCTTGTGTCTGAATCTGAGGTGATTTAAAGGATATTAACACAAGTATAAAAACAGTGCAAAATTTTTGCAGGCACACAGCCTCCAGAGTTGCCTTAGGAAATCCCCTTTAGTGGTGTTGGGCCAGTTACATTAGATATTAAATATTAACTTATTATTAAATATACATTCCTGGGTTTCCTTTATGCTAACATCAGGCCCAGAAATGTAACCAAATGAAAGACTCAAAAGCCCCAACAACCCAAACGATCCAATCATCCAGACCACAGGCTCACAATGAGTTGTGCTTGAAAGCGATGTAATATGGCATCTCTTTAGTGGCTCCAGCTCCAGAGTTTTAGTTGCTTCAGTAACTAGAACAGACTTGTTTTAAAGTACGCATTTTCTAGAAGTGAAAAGTGCCATTGGGTAGGCTACAGTAGAAGTCAGCGATAACCACAACCACTAAGAAACATGTTTCCGGGCTTTGGCCCCTTGTAAATAGGCCTTTTACCCTGTTGCCAACTGAAGCTGGATAATAACTGTCCATTAACAACAGGATTAAATTTAGCTGAATTTTGTAAAAAGTTTGTATCAATCACAGCAAACATCTAATAAAACATACTGAATTTTATTTAGAACTAAGTGAAGGAAGCATGACTCTCATTCTCCCTGCATCCCCCACTCACAATGTCTAACATGTCATAAAATGGCATACTTATCAATTGTGCTAAGGAAACCAGATTACAAACAGGTGTCTGACATGAAGGGCTCTATAATTCATTGTTTGTTTCAGGAAATTCTCATTTTCAAATTGTAGGGTGCCAAGATAATAGCTGATAAAGTCTATTCAAAGGAAAAAACTTAAGTCTGTTCCAAATCATGGTGACCTATTGTGTTAATGAGCAGATCTGCTCCAAGTCCATATCAACTTACCTAACTTTAATTTAGAGGGAGCTTTGACCTCAGAAAACATTAATTTTTATACACCCTGGTTAAAACTGCATTTCAGTGTTATATTTTTGCTTATGTTAGGTGAGCTTTATAATAAAAAGCTAATGTGGTACTCAAAGGAAGTCTGGTAGCAGGTGGGCAAGTTATGCAGGACCTTACTGGCATTCTTTTCTGGCAGTGAAAGAGTTTGATATAGAAAATTGTATCTTGCTAAAAATGTTAGAAATACCAGGGACGTATGTCTAAAAGAACATTTATAGCAATCTTTCTGCTAGGCAAATGGTATAGTGGAAGACAAAAATTACTTCAATCACCAAAGACAGACAACATTGTAGGTGAGTCGGAACAGGTGCATAGAGGTCTTATTTAGCCCTATTTTAGTGGAAGAAAATACAGGAAGCCTTTTCAATGATATAAAAGCTGCCCTGCAGCAAGCAAATGTAGGTGGAGTGTGATGAGTAATTCATTGCTAGGAGGGACTGGTTTAAATGTTTCAAAGTGAGGGTAAGTATATAACATTTAAGGGCAAGTACAGTGCAGTTGTCCGTAAGTCTGTCATAATTCGGTGACTGCCTGTGCTTGGATAGCAAAGGTTTATAATATCCTGAATACAAACATGCATATGGCTGAAGTGAAATAAGCAACACACTGTCTCTAAAACATTCTAAGACTTTAACAACATCACACTAACCTACTCAAGAGGCCTTGTTAATGATTAGTTCAGGTGGGCTCAACTGTTTGCGTATCATCAGAAACATTTTACATCTAGAAGGATTTCCTCCTTTCAGCCAATCCTGATCTTAACTGAATCTTCCCAATGGATCCATATTTCTCTCCCCTAGGACCAGAATGCAAAAGCCTGACAGTGATGTAAGTGGTAGGTGATGTGGCATTGTGCGTTCATTAAGCAACGGAGTGCTAACCACAAAGTCGGTGGTTTAAACCCCCAGCCGCTCCTTAGAAACCCTAGACAGGGTCACTATGAGTTGGAACCAACTCCACGGCACTTAACAACAAGCAAAAGCTGAAGATGTGGGACAAGATACCAAGACCTGCTAGTTTAGAATCATGTTCGGGAGCTTGTTTCTATGACCAAGGGAACGCCGGTTTGTAGGTTCGCTTGCCCAGTGCTTCTTATTCACAGAACCCGTGTCCTTAAAAAAGGGTTCACAATATTGGTCTTACCAAGACCAATAACAAAAGCCCTCAAGTAGATCCAGATCACAAAAGGGTTCTAATCTAGAGGTAGAGATCAGGGATTCCTAGAACCTATACAACACTGCTCATGGATAGCCTTTGTTTGCTGTTCCTCTGGGGACAAACTATAAAATTTGATTCTAGCTTTCTTTTGTGGATTGGCAACCACTAAGTTTTCAAGGAACTTAAAATTCCATTAAGCCAGAATAATAGACAAGGAATCCCTATCCGAGTGAGGGAAACAGTTATTCCATGCAAGCGACCCTTTCATAGATATGCTGTTAAGAAGATGGAGATCATCCCCAATTCTCCATTTTTTTTTTTTTTGATACCACTCACTCATTACATTTTATTGTTTTTACAAATTTGGCAACAGGTTTAAATTACTACTGCACTAAGGTCTGTATGGATTTTCGCTATCAACTGTGAACAAATCAGAGTTGGCTCTACATCTGGCATTCAAGAGACATAATGGCTACGATTTCTGCCTTTGATATGATTGCTCCCCTATAACGCAAAACCATACAGAAAGGGATTAGTCACATCACATCCAACTTTAACTCCAAACGAAAGATTTGACTCTGGGTCAGGGAGACGGTGTCACTGTGGATCCTCAGCTTCTGCTAACGTCCCATGCCTGGCTCTTTGGCTCATCCCCAGCATACAGTCCAGCTCTGGAGAGAGCAATGCCAAGCAGCTCCCCAGCCTGAGTAATTGTGACTGTCTTAAGTTAAGGGCAGCCTGATTAATGGAAAATTTAGGACTGGTGCTGGCTGCAGGAAGCTGAAGTAGCTCCTATCTATGTTTATCAAGCTCTTGCTAAAGCGGCATGCACAGAAAGATGAAAAGTGCTGATTTTCCTTATACTACACTATAAACCAAGGCAAATTTAAGGACTCCGGAATGATCTTTGGAGTTGCATAAAAGTGCAAGTACAAATACACACATTTCAGGGGTTTAGTCTCCCCTTCCTAAATCCTCTCATCTTAACTCTAGACCAAGAGGACCCATTAGTTACAAGTACTTAATCTCTTAAGACATTTTCAATTTTGAGACATGATAAAAGCAGCAACAAATCTGGGGAACTAACATTCATTCATGAATGGAAACCTGTTCATTCTCTCCCAGTGACTTTCACTTACAGGAACTGGAAGGGAGGTGAATGAGAAGTAATGTGCAAGGTCACAGGGGTGATGTCAGTCAGCTCCTCAAAGAAAGTCCATGCCAGAACAATGTGAATGCCAGAAGATGGCTTTTTCAAAGTCCTAAAACTGATGGTATTTGAAATACTTACATGAATAAAAATCAAGCCCTTGGTATCAATCACTCTACCCAGGAAAGAGAGTAAAGTGTTTCCCATAAGCGTGTCCATTCACCTCTTCCAGACATCGTCACAAGACTGCTAGCACTTTATCAGGTGAGAGAGAGAGGGGGAAAAAAAACATTAATGCCTAGTCAAGTTATTTATAGCCAATCAACAGAGTAAATATGTACGAAAAATACTATAAATACTATCTCGCTGCCTAAACTTAAGACAACTGTGCAATACACTGGCAGTAATGACCATTGCAATTATTATCCATCTGGTTTAACTGCCCTCTGAGTTGTTAACATCTAATACTTCAAAAAGAAGTTCCCGTAACTGTACAATGTGGTACAACATGGGGTCTTTTTTCATTGAAAGGCTGGAAACTGATTACTTAATATTGACTTCAATATTCTGACAAACATTTTTTTGTTTTAGGATTTTCCTTGTAATACTTCACTTCCCGAAGGTGCTTCAGGTGTTCTTTAGTGCTTTCCACATGCCTCATCCCTTATGTGACCCTCATGACTGCTCTGTGAGGTAGCTGAGGAAGGCATCAGCACCCCACTTTACAGATGAACCTGAGACTCAGGAAGTGACTCAACTAAGGGTCACATGGCTATTAAGACTTGAAAGATGGACTAGAAACTATCCTAATCCAAAGCTCTTGCTCCCATACTAATGGATGGGAATTGCATCTATCAAAATTTGTGCATTTGCAATCCACATCCTTTTGACTCCTGGTGACTGAGTTAATAAGGTGACTGCAAAGGAATGGCTCTTTTACTGCTTTGATATAAAAACCTTTTTAAGTCACGAAGTCAGAAACTTTAACTTCCTCCCAGTCTCTAAACCTGAGGGTGGCCCTATAAAGCCTTTAAGAGACTAAGGGTACCAATGAACATCCTGTGAGGACATGGAAGTGTAAAATGGGAGGGAGGTAGAGGATGGAGCCGTCCCTCAAAGCCATACAGAAGGCACTTCAGACAATGTCCTCAGCAGGGTGATGGACAGCATGGGCACCCAGGGTAGAGAATTGGTGCCAGTTCCGCAAGAAGCCCCGGCTGTACTGGCCTGTGTCCACGATAAGGCCACAGAGGAGCCGGCGCCCAGTCTTCTGTCGGAGGGCCTGCTGGACTTCCCTCTCAGTCACATTGTAACTGATGTTTATCAGCTGGATCAGGAAGACATAGGCCATGCCCGCTGTGATGATCACAGAGTACCACACGCAGGTGAAGGACAGTGCTGAGCTGAAAGTGGGGGAAAGGCCAGTTAGGGCTGGCATGCTGTCCCATTCAGAAAGCTGTCACCATCCATACATGTTACACAACTAGGACTAAATATGAAGGACCCTGACCCCTTCCCCAACTCACCCGCTGAACGGCCATAGTCAGCTTGACTTCTGTCAGTTCACATGTCTGATTTTTAACATAATTATTACTGCCTCTTTTTCTATTATGTTTTACTAAAATAGTAAAGTTTTGGGTTTTTTTTTACATTCTGTAGCTCCACACAATTACCACAGTGCTTGCTTGGTTAGCACTCAACATCTGTTAACGGAATAATTCCTACGCTCTACCTAACTCATAAGAAATTGAAGGCACTATGCCATGGCTATAAACCTCCTTAAGAAGTTTGGCCATACGAGGAAGACTCGGAACAGTGCTAAAATTATTCATCTCCATTATTTTCAGTTCATTGTAGATAAACACATATAAGACAACAGTCAACACTGTAGCCCATTATTTACTATGTAGGAGCACCACAATGTTTCAAAGGTCCACTTCCTAAAACCAAACAAAACAGGACAAGAGGGCTCCTGCGAGACTGACTGCCAGGAGGGACACCAACCAGCATGTGCCATCTTGAATCGTCGTTTTTACTTTAAAGAGACCTCAGATGGTTAAATGCCAGGGCCTCACTATCAAGAGGAACTCCACGGTGAACTGCCTGTGTAAAGTGAAGTGGGAACTGAAGACAGAACTGTGCTCCGCTTTTCATATGTCACCCACAGAAAATCTATAAAACCATACTTAATAACATATGTTGTTGTGGTGGTTGTTAAGTGCCACTGAGTCTGTTTTCATAGCCACCCTGTATAGGACTTCTAAGGAATGGTTGGTGGGTTTGAACCACTGATTTTGTGGTTAGTAATCCAGTGCTTATCCTACAGTGCCACACCAGGGCATACAGACAGGCTGTATTTAGGATATTTATTCTTCATTTTTCCATACTTATTCCTTAACTAAGAATTTCACAACCTAGTAAGGCTGTCAAATACAGATGAAAAAAGGAACCTTCTCCTAAAGACACCCAATCTATTCTAAGAATGCCCACAGATTTCTAGTCTAATACAGTGACAATGGGGAGATGTGTTCATGGACTAATAAAAACAAAAGCCTGCATAGGGTCGTATGTGGATGAAGCAGGGGCTGTTCCGAATATGAAGACTCAGAAGAAAAGGCAGGCACTCTGTTGACAAAGCTGCCCCAGCTAAGACAGCGAACCCTGGGCACAGAGCAGGGATGTCAGGAAGAGGGTGGAGGGATGAGAATAAAGAATACACACAAGGGAGTGTGTATGGGGTCAAAGCTGAAAAAACCCAGTGTTTGCCACTGTGTGAAATCTTAAGAATACTTAAATGTGCCCCATCTAACAGGGAAATTCTGACCTAGATACCACAGTAATCATGAGCGGGGATTAAAAATTAAAAAGCAGCAAGGAAAAATCAATAGAGGTTAAAAAGGTTAGAATTGTAAGTCGTTCTCAAAACGGTCAGAAGCATGAAATTAAGATTACATTTAAAAAAACAGCAGAAAGCATCAGTAAAGAGTTCCCTCATATTTAAAACAAAATTAAGAGATCACCTACATACCCTGGCATCACTAGTTTATTGCTTCGGTTGCATTGCTGCTAACCCAGCGCATGCAAATGGCATCTATCTCTGCAAGTCCCTGATTAAGTCTGGCCCTACTTTAAGAGTACAGATGTCTTACTTTCTAAGGAGGAAGGATCCTTGTGCCATAACCCTAGAGAAACACACATGTCCATGGCACAATTCCATTGGCAATTTCAGGGGATACACTGCATATTTGCCATTTTGGGTTGAAAACGCCTAACCTATGAGCACATAATGTTGTTAAGTGCCATCGAGTCGGTTCCAACCCCTAGCGACCCTGTATAGGGTTTCTGAGGAGTGGCTGGTAAGCCTGAACTGCCGACCTTGCAGTTTAAACCAACTTTGCAGTCCAGCACATTAGCCCACAGCGCCACATCAGAACTCCACCTAATATTCTCTACTAATGACAACATCCACTGGCTTCTCTACTGTGGGTCCACATCTCACCTGTAATTTGTGTAAACTCCAGGACAATAGAAGAGAGATGTGAAGACACTTCTATCTCTACAAATGGTGTCCAAGGTGAGTGTTATCCCGTACACTGACGTGAGCAAGAAGATCAAAAGGGCAAGTATAAATGCTTGATGATTTGATTCTCCAACGCAGCTATTTATCCTCAAAACAACATAAAAGGAAAAAAGAAAGCAATTTTTAAAATTCACTATGTAACTCATATAATAAAGAAGAAAGCGTTTAAAATAGGGATAGCGTGAATTTCAGTTCTAAGAAATTAAGTTCTCTTATGTGGGACAATGTGCTGGATAGCAAGGTCAGCGGTTCAAATTTACCAACTGCTCCTCAGAAACTCTAAAAGGGTTACAAGTAGGAACCTACTCGACAGCATTTAACAACAACAAATATTTCAATTCAAACTTAACTTGTCTGCTTATATTCTCTCAGAATCATACCATTAGTTTAGTGGGAACACTCAATAAAAAGCAGAACCTGGCTAACAGATTTCTTGAGATAATAAGTGAAGTCTGTTTCTATCTGTGAAGATTGACTTAACTTTGTAATGACCACAATAGGTAAAAGGTTACGGTAAATATCAGTTATGAAAACTTATAAATGTTAAGTCAGAAATATTACAGCATGGAAAACTGTATTACAAATATACTTTTAAAAAAAAATCCAACGAACTTAGGAACCTGGTGTGCATTAGAGAAGAAGGCAATAGCATGCAGATTACTTGCCAGGTAAAATATGTGTTGTAACCATTTGGGGAGAAAGCCATACAGGAAGGTCTCTGTTAACTACACACCAGGATGCTCAGTGCGTAGAGAACGTTGTCTTTAAGATGGGCTTTAATCAGGACCTCTGAAAACCAGCATTTATAAATGGACCAATAACCACACAGCATACTTCGTCCCATGTGAGAATCAATGACAGACACATGAGGATAAAATCCAAAACTGACAACCATTTACTCCTAAAGACAAAGCCCAAGGCAAGGGCTGCCCCTTACTGGTCCACTCCAGCACCCTCCTGACCTTTCCTACATCCTTCAGCCTCCCTAGTGTCCCTTGCTGAGGGCAGAGGTTAGCTACATGACCAGAATCCTAGACAAGAAAAAGTCTAATTCATTTCCCACGATTGCTTTTTAAGACAGATAAACTTGCAAACATGCTGCTTGTAACGTCCATATCTGAATGAATCACATCATCTTTCCTCTAGATTTATTCAATAAAGCTGCACACTCTATCTTATGGGCTTTACACGTCTTTCTTTGTTACCAGCCAGCTAGAAGGTACAAAAATAGTTCATCTCATGACAAATAGCCAAATGGGAGTTATCCATTAGGACCTCAACTCAACGTTGAGTGGAGCATCAAAATTATTACAAATAGATGGTGAGAGCATCAAGGTAGCATCAAAAGTAGTATAAATATATGGTGAAAAGCAAAAAAAAAAGTCCTCTAGAAACAGGAAATGCTTTCTTGATCTCTGTGTTTAAAAGAAATGTTGTTGTTGTTAGGTGTCATCGTGTCAGTGCCTACTCATAGCGACTTTATGCACAGCAGAACAAAACAGTGTCCGATCCCGGGCCAACCTCACTATTGTTGCCATGTTTGAGCCCATTAGTACAGGGAAATAAGCCTATACTGATTGTGATAAATTCTAAACAATGTATTTATTTTTATATATTATATATGTGAATATATATTTCAAATGTGTTGTTGTTAAGTGCCGTGGAGTCGGTTCCGACCCATAGCGACCCTGTATAGTGTTTCCGAGGAGTGACTGATGAGGTAGATTCTGCTATATTAGAATGAAGAAGATAAATAAGGGACAAGTCAAAAAAGAATAGCTTAAAAAAAAAAAAGTTTTTTGCTATTCCCCTTCAGGAAATGACAGGGAACTAAATCTGTGAAGCTCAAAAAACTGATGACTAAGTGGGAACATCTTAACAGCCCACAAATATCTACAAGGTGTAAAACTAGGAAGGAGAGAAATTTGAGGATGACAAAAAAAGGAAGATTAAATACATCTAGAGAGTTTTATGTGAACTCAAATGTCCCAAGGCTCCAAATTTTCCAACATACCAGACACAATGATGATCCATTCTCCTCACACAGACACCACATAACCGGCAATGCCACGCCCGGGCTGGTCGCACCAGCTGGCACTTGGCACACCAATCCTCCTTCATCTTGTTGGGACTGCTAGCCACCATCTTGGAAGAGCCCTTAAGATCATCCTTCATGGTTCGATTGTTAAGACTTCCAGACGTATCTGCTCCAGAGAATGCTTTGGTGTTCTCATGCCCTTTTCTGGTCAGGTAATCAATTTGGCTGTTGCTTAGAGAACTATCATTGCTTGTTGGATTTCTGAGGTAGCCTGGATTCCTCTTGGCTCGGTACAAGGCTAAGAGTATCAGAAGTAACCCGCAGGTAAGAGTAGCCAGCTGAATGGGCCCCACATGCCCTCTGGGGACCACTTCCTGAAGGAACACATAGTACATATAGCCCAGTGAGAACAGTCCGAGGCTCAGGAAAAACAGAGTCTGTTCTTTCCTTCTGTGAGTGAGGTAGTAGTACCACAGTACCAGCACAGGAAGGGAGGTCAAAACCACCACACCAAGCAGGAAATGCCAGGAAGCCACATGGAGGAAAATGGGCAGTAGGATGAGTGGGGGAATGATGCTAATGTTAACTTTTTTGGCTCCCCTGAGCCACGGAATTCGGAGGCGATCATAAATTGTATCCATGATACGTTCACAAGTCTCTGGCTGTATAGATTTACATGTAATCCATCTAGTCAGAAAGAACACAAAGTGTTGGTACTTCATATGGGTTTGAATTAAAAACTACGAAAAACTGCATGCCCAACAGGATAAATGATAAAGGTCAAGAATTCTCTTCCTTTACAGAAAACACAAGCTTTCTGTTTTGTCATTTTTTAAGTATTACAAGAAGACACCTAAAAACTTAATGGTCAGTGTTATTTCTCCACTAAATATATATAATAAATCCATTGTTTATTCAATTCACAATTTAAAAAATGATAATAATAATTTAAAAAACCAACATCATTATCAAGTAGATTCGGACTCACAGCAAGCCTATTTCACAGCGTGGAAATGCTCCCTAAGGTTTTTAAGACTGTAAATGAAAGTGGCCAGTGGGTTTGAATTGCTGACCTTATAGTTAGCAGCCCAATGCTTACCACATTACATCTTTATGTTGTTGTTGTTGTCGTTAAGTGCCACCAAGTCAGTTCCAACTCATAACGACCCTGTATGGGTTTCCAAGGAACCACTGGTGAGTCTGAACTGCCACTGCACCACTATTGTTGTTGCTGTTGTTAACTGTCATTGAGTCAGTTTCGACTCACAGTGATCCTGTATAGGGTTTCCGAGGAGAAGCTGGTGGGTTTGAACTTGTGCTGATCCTAGAGTGCCACAGAAATCTACATATTCCATATAATTCTGTTTAGACCTAAGTGGGCATACAATTATAGGAATCTCAAAAAAATTTGTATCTAGTTATGAACTTTTCATGCTGTTTTGTCATCATAACTAGATTATCTCCATGAACCACTATGGATGACTATCATTAGGAGTACTCAGAGGAAAGAGAACACTTCTGATCTGAACCACAGAGGGGTCCTTTGTGGAGAAGATGGGCTCTGTGTTCAACCCAAAGGCTAGTTAGCATTTGCTTGGGTAGAGATGAAGAGCAGTAGATATTCCAGTGGAGAGAGATGTGTGCAGTACAAAATCTCCCTGGGCTCTGGGATTAAACCAGAGGGTCAGACACCGGGTCTGGATAAGAAGGGTGAAAACCAGACTCATATAAATCAAATGACTGAGGAAGGGAACTGAATGGTATTTGATGACTTTTTTTGCGCTAGTCTTTTTTTTATTTAGTCTAGTAAGGAAAGGAATAGTTTACAGAACAATAATTGGTTTTAGACAGGCAACTAAAAAAGGAGGGCTAGTATTGGTAGTGAGCAGGAAATAACTACATGGGAGCCAAACAGAGCAGCAGGGTTGGTAGAAACATTGGGTGTCTATTCTGAAGAAGAATATGGAGAGCAGAGGAGAGAACTTAGGAGAAAGCCCAGGTCCCAGGAGTTTGGAGGGAGGAAGAGTTTAGCAAGGTTAATGGAAGCACTGCGGTCTTGAGTCATGGTGGTTATGGAAGCAGAATCATTTCTCCATTCATTAGTGCAAAGTGCTCCATCTTCTTAATATGGATTTTAGACTAGAAATTCTAAAGTATCTGTATTTTAAAGACAGACTTTATAGGCACTTAAGGGAAGAATTACAAAAGGGTCTTTTGGAGTGTGAAAGGTGGTTACCAGACTACATTAGTCCCTGGGGAATGCTATTAATGGCTAGATTCATACACTAAGCTCTAAGTTGACAATCAGCAACTGCAGTGACTTTTTTAACTAGAAGTAATTATTAATGGAAATACCAAATTTCCAACATCCCTGTTTGTCTTGTATTACACTTTTCACATGGACCATATATAATTATTTAGAAAACAGGCTAGAGCCAAGCTATTACTGTTGGGTACAGAATTGTTCAGAGATGTTAGAAATTACCTTTCTGAGTAATAATTTCTATCACTGAGGAAATAAAAGCCAAATAAAACACGACCAATCCAGTCAAGATTGCAGCTTGCACTGCAATAAGTCAGTTCTGGGAAGGTCTAAACCTTCCTCCCCAGAAGCCAATTCCTATGACAGAAAAATGATCTTTCAAGACCCCAAGTTTCTAAATGCTGAGACCATGAAATTGTCTAAACTTTCTGGAACCAATGTGTTCATTTTACAGATTCTGCTATTTGCAGTACACAAACACACTTGCCCCCCTACCCTGTTTTCTACTTGCTTTCTCCCTTTAAATGACAAATGATAATATCCTTGGATTGGCACGGCAGCAATGGGTTCAAGCATAGCAGCAGTTGGGAGGATGATGCAGGACCCGGCAGTTATTCTGTTCTGTTGTACATAGGGGTCGCTATGAGTCGGAAACGACTCAACGGCACTTAACAACAACAACAACAAAACGAGCTGGACAGACAGCTGTGCACTACTGAGTAATTCATCTTCATAAAATCCTCACATTTGACACAGAAGACAACTTTCTATTTTAATTTTATATCCTTGGAAAAAGAAAGTCGAGCAAATTCTATCTTTCTGAATAGCTAAGTAGTTCCGAAATATGCCAGAGGGGTCAACATCAAAAAACACGGTTCTTACCTTTCACACCCTTCATCCAGATCCTGACAATCACACAAGCAAGCAGCCACGTGGTTCTTTTCCCCATTCCTATCTATGTACTCGCAGCAGCACAAAGGCTCCAATTCAGGCTCTTCGGTTTTCTTTTTCTTCGCAGGTTTCATGCCGCCCATTTGCACCTGCCACCATGAGGTGTAAGAAGCCCCCTGAAGGTTAAGGAAGAAAGCACTCAATTCACATCTTGTAAACACATCTACGCCCCTCTGATTAACCGCCAACGCCTAAACAATCAAAAATGAGAAGAAAAGGGGGAAAGTCTGCTTTCAGCCGGTTTTGTGGCTCCGCTTGCCCAGGCACCGAGCTCCAGACTCAGGGCTCCGAACTGCCTTCCCCGCCCTCACCACCAGGGCAGGCGCCGTCTGGGCACCGGCGTTCCCAAGGCAACAGCCGACCACGCTGCCGGGACAGCCGGGCGCGGGCGGCTGCGATCACCTGCAGGTGCGGGATGTGGAGAGCCCGAGAAGGTGGATGCAGGTGGACCCTCACCCTCCGGACTGGGGGTGGTGGTAAACGAGGTGTGTGCACGCTGGCGCCGACGGACACGCCCGCTGCTGGCGCGGGCGCCAGCGACCCGGCTCCGAGGAGGCCGCCGAGTGTCCAAGTAGAGCTCGGCGTCGCCGCCCAGTCCGCTCTCCCGCCCCTGCCAACCATGAGGACGCGGACCTTGGAGCATGACCTTGGAAGGGAAATTACCTGCTCTCCCAGCGGAGGTGCGGCCACAGCCAGAGAGGTTCAAGTGGAGGGCGGATTCCTTCGGCGGTGCGGACGGGCCCCCCAGTCTCTGTTCTGCGGGCTCCGGGTGTGGCTGTTGGAGTCTCGGTCGCCAGACTCTACTCTGCCCTCGCCGCTGCACACCTGTGGCTACTGCCCGGCACGGCCCGGGCTTACCGGACCCGGAGCCTGGAGTCCGCGCGCTTCCGGGTGCCCCGCCCCCAGCGCTGAGTAGCGCTGAGCTCTCCGCCCCGCCCACCGCACGTGCACCTCCCGCGTCCTGAGAAGCCCGCCGTGAGGCCCTGCCCCCGGCCCCGGCTCCGCCCCCGCCGCGAGGTGCGGAGACTAATACCGGAAACCCGGGTCGGGAGGGTTTCCGAACTATGAGACCGGCGTGTAGGTGTTTTAGCTTTCATTCAGATGCAACTAACAGGCGTTGAGGGAGATCTCCAGGGTAAAATGTTACCGAGGGACCTTCTAGCAATTCGCCAGCCTCTCTTTAAAGACCCATCACAGCCCCCTAAGCTGTTAATTAGCCAACTTGTTCATTCTCTCACCAACCTTTCCGCCCAGCGGTTCCTACTTTAGACCAGCAGGGCTGTCTCAGACTTTAGTCCCAGCAGTTTGCCTATTTGATAGGTAATCGCCTTAAAACGACAGCCCTCTTTGAGTTTTATTTTGTATTAAAGAGGGAATGCCCATTTGCAGGTTTCACCACAGTAGCCTTCTAGATTTTTGCCTTTTTAAGATGAAAAAGAAAAACGGCAACATAGACTTTTAAATTTTTATTGATATTCAATTTGCATGAGCAGGCTCCAATTTTACTATATTCTGCACACCCACACATTTAGTCTTACATATATATGCATTGTACTTTGGTCATTTTCTTTGAGGTATTTATGAAATACGATCTCTCAAGGAAACGTCACAAAAATATTCAGCTTGTCTGATCATTTTTGTGAACTAACAAAACAAGGTTTCAAGTTTGCAGCCCAGTCACTCTTGCTCACAGCCAGACACTTCTTAAATCTTTACAAATGAACATCCATTGAGGTTCACCCAGAGAGAGACCCCACTGTCACTATTCCAGTCAACACTTTGATTCTTTACAATCATCTCAAAAAGAACTTTCTCAATCCCATGTGGCTTGGGTGACTTTGGAAAATAAAGGCAATAGTTGTTTCAACAACAACAATATATACAAATTATTCTACACTAGCTTCCTGTCGTTCCAGAGAAAGCTCTCAAGAGGATGCTTTCCGAATAACTTCCTAATTCCTGGGAAATAAACCTGATTTCAAGTCAGTTCACAAAGTCCTTTTTTCTTTAGGAAACATTTTACTGAGACATATAATCTAAAAACTTTTTATGGAAGAGCCAAAGCTTGTGTCTGGCTTACAGCTTCAAAGTCAGTGCATTTATATTAAGGCATATGTGCTCCAGGAGTTTTTATTAAAGAGCTAAAGCTTGTTTGTGGCTGGCTTATAGCTTAGTGACTAAAACAAGCCACATACACACATAAATATATAAAGAATGAAGTCATACCAGGCTACTGAAAAATTATACATAAATTATTTTACACCAGATGTTTCACCAACTGCTAAACTGAAGCCAAGTTTAGTTCAAGTAGTCATTATATGTAACTAAATGCCCAGAATTTTAGTCTTTGGATTTTTAAAACTGAGATCATGGTTCTTCATTGTGAGAGCTGATATCTTACATACTCCTTTTCCTAAATTGGGTCTTCTGCTATTTGATGCATAAAAAGGCAAGATGCTACCATTTCTAAAAACTACCTTAAGAAAAAAAAAAAAATTCTTTCATACAACTAGGTTAAGAATCTTCTGATAGGTAATAATTATCAACTTTAAAATAAATAAGGTTTGACTATTAAATTTGCATACTAAATAAATTAAGACACACAAACCTAGATATATTTTGAATTATGCCTGAAAATGGATCCTTCAAAATTAGAAGGTTTTCTTCTTTTATTTGGGGGTTTCTTCTTAAAGCCTCTTGACCATATATTAATGGGAAAAGCTTTCTATGGATAAGTACTGATTCTGCACTAACAAATAAACTTAAAAGCATCAAACTTTCAAACCTCATGTAGAAATAAGGCTGTTATCACCCAATTCAGAGTGCCTCATTTTCTTCTTTATCAGGGAACTTCAACTCCGTAATATATTTCACGGTTCATTGGAGAAATTCACAGCTTAAGAGTTATAAGAACTGAAACTATGTATTCTTAAGTCCAAATAGGACAAATTATCAAATAAATGTTACTGAAAGAATGTTAATATTAGAAATTATCAATAATGAGAAAGCATAGAAATGTTCCTATGACAATGAAAATCCTTCACGGTTTGGTTTTCTTCCAGATGTCTTCTTTTAGTTCCAAGGGCTTCTATAGTTTCAATCTTTAAGATGGCTAGCTTTCAACAGCCACGCCAGTCTTGTTCTTATTTAGTAGATCAAAGGTTCTCTGAAGCATAACAAGTGAGCTCTTCAACTGCAAACAAAATTAATGTTAAAAATTAGATTGTTTCATTTTTTTCTGATTTTATGCCAAGAAGTTTACAGTGACATTTAATATCATTGTGTTTATACAGATGCCCAAATAAGACACTACATGTAAAATACCTGATTCCTTAGTGTATCTGTTGGTATAATTGCTACAAAGCTCTTCCCATTTATGGAACACTGCCCTTCTTCCTACAATGTTATCTCCAACTGACTACCCAGATTATCCAAAGTGAAAGGTTCATTTTCTTATATACAGCTTTCTGAAATTACAGTGGTTTCCTCACTAGCCCCTAAACAACTGAAGTGTTACAAATGGGGCTTTACTTCTATTACACTCACATTCCTCTGTACCTTTCTAGAACTTAGCCCCACCCTAGTCTCCATGTAGTTTTTTCCTAATCACCCTGCTTCAGCTCCTGAAGCATTACCCTTACTGTTAAGCGTTGTGACTTCATTCTGTAATTTTTTTAATAATCTTTCACAATATTCATGGACATCTGATTTCTCTAATAAAACTATAGGCAACTTGAGGGCAAGATTTATGTCTCATTCTTTTTTGTATCCATTCAACAAATATCTATTGTGTAGTGGTTACAAATTGGACTGCTAATCTCAAGAACAGTAATTCGAAATTACCACAGGAGAAAGATGAGGCTTTCTGCTCCCGTAAAGATTTACAGCCTTGGAAACCCTGTACAGGGTGACTATGAGTCAGAACTGACTCCACGGCACATAGCTGCCACCACCACCACCTCTGTATGCTAAACAGAAGACATAATATGGTGAACCAAATAGGCACTGTTCCTGTCTTCACGCAGTTTACAAACTACGGAGGAATACAGAGCCAAAACAAATCACATATAAACATATGCTTACACATTTTATTAAGTGTTTGGTTGGATCAACAAAAGATGACAATATCAAGTCAGGATGAGTAGAAGAGAACTGGGGTTTTGTGTGGGAGGAAATGTGAATTCTGTTGTGGACATGATCTAATCTGGATGCCTGAACAGACCTGAAAAAGCTGAGTCCAGGTAAAGATGCCTGGAGGTAAACAGACTGAGTTTTGGGGCTCAGACAAGAGATCAGGGATGAGAGATAAGAATTTAGGAGTCAATGGCACCTGTAGTATTTAAAGCTACGGGAGTGGATTAGTGTGGTGCAGTGAATTATTTAATGTCTCTTCTAGTCACAGTCTTTGTAAATTCCCACCAAAGGACTTTTTCTTGATGGGTCTGGGTAAGAAAAGGTAAAGGATGATGCTGATAGATTATATAATTCAGTTGTGAGTGATTGTTAAAAAAGTGAATGGTGATTGGTCAATTTCATCATCCTGATGGGGAGGAGTGGTGGAGGCTCAGTACCATAAAGAAGAAAGGGCCAGGAATGGATTGCATCCTTTGTACCCGGAGATCCCTGGTGCACTGAACTTGTGTGGCCCAGGAACAGACGACAGCTGTGACATCAAAGGAGTTCCAGAGGAGCGGCAGCCACAGCAGAACCAAGACCCAGAGCATGAGACAGGGAGGCTTGCTTGCAGACTGGGGTGCCTCTCGACATGTAATTGGGGAGCTAAGTTTGCTGATCCAGAATCAAGTCAAGGGCCTTCGAACTGAGGCTTAGAGCAGAGTGGAGTGTTCTTTGGGCATTTTATCAGCAGCCCTAGAAGAGCACTGTATCATTGCCCAAGCAAGGCAGAGGCCAGGCCAAGGGCCCACGGACAAGAGGAAGAGCTGCCTGTGGGCATAGGTGAGGAGAGGCTGTCCTGACTGGAAGAACTGTGCCCTGAACATTTCTGACCCTGAATTTTGCAACCTGTTAACTTCCTTAATAAACCCATAATGTGAGTATAGTGCCTGAGTTGTGAGTGATCACTGCAACAAATTAGCTAACCCAGCTAAATAAAGAGTACTTATGACAATGAGATTACCCAGAGAGAAAACAGAGGAGAGCCCAGGAACATTGGGCCAGGAAGAAGTCAAGTAGAGGAAAGGGTTCTAGCCAGCAAAAACATAGTTTTTTTTTATTATGCTGAGTCAGGGAAGCCAATCACAAAAGGTCATATATTATAAGAACTATCCAGTATAGGCAAATCCATAGAAACAGAAAACAGATTAGTGTTTGTCAGGAACGGAGAGGAGAGGTGAATGAGGAGTAACTGCTAATGGGTACAAGGTTCCTTTTGGGGCTGATGAAAATGTGCTGGAGTTAGATAGCTGTGATGACTGCTGAGTCTACAATCACAGAATATACTAAAAACCATGGCATCAGACATTTTAAAAGGAGACATTTTAGAATATGTAACTTTAAAGGGATTTGTTTTTTAAACAAATCTTTTTTGTTGTTGTTATGTGCCGTGGAGTTGGTTCCGACTCATAGTGACCGTGTACAGGGTTTCCAAGGCTGTTAATCTTTACGGGAGCAGAAAGCCTCATCTTTCTCCTACAAAACAGCTGGTAGTTTCGAACTGCTGACCGTGAGATTAGCAGCCAGATTTGTAACCACTACGCTACCAGAGCTCCTTAGACAAGAGGAAAGTGACAACAATAGTTTCAGACACTAGATGACAGAACAAACCTGGAAAAGCTGAGTCCTAAATTAACTGAGAATCAACATGTACTCTGAAGACTCCTCACACACCTCAGGAATTGTGGGGGAGGAATATTGGGAAGGGGATAAAGAGGAAAGGGCTAAAAATATGAAGAGTTGGATGTAACTTTGAGCATCTGACTTCTCCTCCTCCTTGGGCAGAAGTCTGGCTATTGTATTTTGGAAAAGCTACACAGAGAGGGTCTCTAGCTGGGGCAAGAAGGTGTGGGTGGCAGAACACCAGACATTGTTATGGATAGTGGTGGCTGTTGTTGTTGTTTAGTGCCATGGTCAACTCATAGTGATACTGTATAGGGTTTCCAAGGATCAGCTGCTGAGTTTGAACTGCTGACCTGATGGTTCAAACCGACCTTGCGGTCCAGTGCTTTATCCCACAGCACCACACCAGGACAGTAATACCACACCAAAAATAGAAATGATATGAAAAAATGTACACTAAATGTTGAGGCCATTCCCTCTGCCCTGTCTTCCCCCTACCCCACACCCCTAGTCCTCTTCCTTCACTCAGCTCCTAAAACCTAGCCCTTCTGATGAAATGAAATGCAGATAGGTTTCTTGTGATACAATAGTGAATAACTGTTATCAGGACTGATTGTGAGGGTTGGAAATGTAAAGGTAGACGTTTTGTAACAAGGAGGGGAGTGATTAACTTTTCAGTCTAGGAGCGGAGGTCCCTGGGACCATCAAGGGAAAAGAGCAGAGAGCGGGACCTTACCCAGAGAAGCAGTGATGCCTGAGATGGAGGCAGAGACGATGATGTGGAGAGATGGAGCAGCTGGGGACTTGAGATCCAGAGAGGGAGGGGCTGTGTGCTGAAGACCGAGGGAGGGGGCAGGCTTGCAGGGTATACCCTTTGGTTGGTTGATGATGCATGGAGGTGATTGTGACCATGGTAATGAAACGATACACGATAGGATGAATGTAAAGCTAATGTTCTCCCATGTAAGCTATCACATAATTCACAATAAAACATTAAAAAAAAAAAAAATACAGCCCTTAGCCAGTTAGTAATACTGAAAGGGGTCTCCTCTGTAGCAACTGACCAGTCTAAAAGATAACGAAATCAGGATTTCTTAGCCAACAGCCCAGCCAGATCCACTGGGAGGTACAGATTAGACAAGCCCCAACCACATATAAAGACCACCAGACTATCAGAAGCTCCTTAACCTAAAAGAGAAGAATCAAAATGGGGGAAAAAAAAAAGATCTTGAAGAAAAGTGAATGTGCAAGAAGCATGTGGGGGATACAGTTACAGACACTTCCTGTTACGTGATGTCGAGTCAGTTCCAATTCATAGCTACCCTGTACAGGGTTTCTGAGGTGCGGCTAGAGGGTTTGGATCACCAACCTTATGGTTTGCAGTCCAGTGCTTATCCTATAGCATTACACCAGAGTCACAGAGACTTCCTAGATATAGTCAATTAACTTGTAGAATTGATTTACTAAGTTGAAGACCTTAAGTCTTCATAGTCTGTGGAATAATTTAGTCAATCGGTATAATGTAGTTCATAATGTTTTATACTCTACTTTGGAAGGTAGTGCCTATGGTCTTAAGAGCTTGCGAGCAGCTATCTAAGATACAATTCTGGAGTAAAAGAGAAGAGGGAAACCAAAGACTAAAGGAAGAAACTAGTCCCCAGGACTAAGAGCCCACACACACCATGGCCTTTTCTAATCTGACATCAGAAACACTAGATGGGTCCCAGCTATCATTACTGAGTGATCTGACCAGGACAACAAAAGGTCCCTATTAGAATGGAGGGAAAAACAAAAAACATAGAAGAAACCTCAAATTCATAAAATGACCAGACTTACTGATAGAGATTGGAGGAATAATCAAAACCCTAAAATACCCTTTAAATCTGGAAATGAAGTGACTCCCAGAGATCTCGTTTCAGTCAAACAATAAATTGCATTATAAAATAAGCACTATCACTCATGAGTAAGGTGTTCTTTAAATAGTGAAGCATATGAAATCAAATGGTCAACATTCACCAGAAGCAAAGATGAGAAGGCAAGGCAAGGATCAATATGAATAGACAAAAAAGAAGGAAACTAATGAGAACTATGGAAATTACAATCAATGGTATAAACAATTTATATAAAAATTGTTAATTGGGAACTTAATTCACTGTGCGTACATACTTTCACCTAAAAACCACTAAATATTCAAAAGAGGAAAAACAGAAGAAGAAAATAAACTAATTAAAGAATTGTTGTTGTAAGTGCCATCGAGTTGGTTCTGATCCATAACGATCCTGTATAGAGTTTCCGAGGAGTGGCTGGTGAGCTTGAACTACCGACCTTGCAATTCACACTGACCTTGCAGTCCAGCACATTAACCCACAGCACCACACCAAGAATTAGAAAATTGTTATTGTTGTTAAGTGCCATTGAGTTGATTCTGACCCATAGCGACCCTGTGTAGGGTTTCCAAGGAACAGTTGGTGAGCTTGAGCCACCAACCTTGCAGTTCAAATGACTTTGCAATCTGACACATTAGCCCACAGTGCCACACCAGGTCTCCTATGCTCTGTTACAAGAAAGGAGTAACACATGAAAGAGGAAAACATAAGAAACATTCCATGAAACAGAGAAGAGAGGCAGGGGGACTTGCCAGTGTGATGTGACATGATAGCTGCTGTGCTCCAGACACACAAGGTAAAGGACCTGCTCAGCCAGTCAGAGGCACTGTTGATCGAGTACCAGAGAGGAATGAAGAGATTAAGAAGAGCTTTATGTAACAGAATTAGAGGATAAAATACTTACAAATGATACTGATAAACTAATCAATGATACAATTTCAGGAATACCAAAAGGCACAGAAGGAAAAAAAGGAATCGTGGTTTATTTTATAGCTCAGTTCTGAATCACAGACTTGTCAAAAGTAAGTAAACATTCAATATTGATCTAACCAAAATTATGCCATTACTTCATTGGGAAGACAGGGGTTTTAGAAGAAGGTGGAAGGAAAGTAAGCCAAGTTGATGCCTTCCATGACAGAAAGTTAAAAATATCTAAAATAGAAAAATCAAGAAGTATCAATGCATACTTGTTTTTTGTTTTGTTTTAAATAAACATGAGGCACACACCAAAAGACCAAACAAAAAGAGTTAAAATTGTCTTTGGGAAAGAAACAGAGTAGAAGGTGCTGGATTGCTTTCTTTCTGAACAAACCTCATCTAACAAGTAAACCCTTTAAACTGTGTGAATGAATGATTTTGGTAAAACTCTTTACTAAGTAATGACAGCAAGTAATGGCAACTCGGAAGGAGCATGACTGTGAAAGGAAGAGAGCAGTTAAAGGAGAAGGGTGTGAGTGATGTGAGTTTGTTTAAAACACGATAACAAAACAGAGTCCTGTGCTCAAGCTAATGGTTCAGTTGAGTACATGAAAGTAGCTCATGAGGCTGGGGGATGGAATTCAGAAGGCACATGCTGGGACGGGTCCCTCTCCTCCTAACAAGAATGAAGATGAGGATGATGTTGTTTAGTGCCGCTGAATCGGTTTTGACTCATAGTGACCCTGTATAACGTTTCCAAGGAGCAGCTGGTGAGTTTGAACCGCTGACTTTGAGGCTCAAAGACAACTTGGGGCCCAGTGCTTTTCCTACAGTGCCACACAAGGATGAACATCGGTACAGGAATAGGAAGGTTTGTGGATTTGGAACAGAAGGAGCAGGAAGGGCCCACCTGAAAATTTCTCTTTCCTCTGTGAGGCATGGTCATCAATTGAGAGTGGGGAGAAATGGAAGGAGAGAATGAGGAGAAAAGAAAGAATCTGTGACATACTCCTTTGCTAAGAAAGGGAGAAGACAGGTAAATAACTTGTTATCACTGCAGTGCCTAGTTGATCTGCAGTGACCACATGATACCAGAGAAATGTTCAATAATGTTGTTGTTGTTGTCAGGTGCCATCGAGTCAGAACCGACTCATAGCAACCTCATGCACAGCAGAACGAAACAATGTCCGATCCTGGGCCAACCTCACTACCGCTGCCACACTTGACGCCATCAATGATGCCACCTGGCCTATCCATCTCATTGGGGGTCTTCCTCTTTTTCTCTGACCCTCCACCTTACCCAGCATGACATCCTTCTCCAGCGACTGTTCCCTCCTGACAATATGTCCAAAGTATGAGAGACGAAGCTTAGCCATCCTGGCCTCCAAGGAGCACTCTGGCTGCACTTCTTCCAAAACAGATCTATTGGTTCTTTTGGCAGTCCATGGCACTTTTAGTGTTCTCCTCCAACACCACAACTCAAAGGCATCAATGCTTCTACGATCTTCCTTATTCACTGTCCAGCTTTCGCATTCAATAATAGAATCAATTCTTCTACAATCTTCCTTATTCACTGTCCAGCTTTTGCATTCAATAGAACCTTATAAATAAAATAAACCTCTATCCAGAGAAGCAGCGACACCAGAGATAGAGGCAGAGATGAAGACATGGAGAGATAGAGCAGCTGAGGACGCCAGACTCATTGAAAGAGAAAGGCAGTGTGCTGGAAGCCAGGAGGCAGGCTTGCAGAATGTGCCCTTGGGTTGTTTAAATGATTATATATTCCAGAGGGGTTTTGTGCACATTCAAAAAAATTAAAAAACAGAGAGAATAGAAGCAAATACTATTGAATGATGATGCATGCAGGAGATTGTAATCATTGCAATGAAATGGAATATGATAGGATTAGTGCAAAATGTATGTTCTCCCATGTAAACTATCACTTAATTCATAAAAAAAAAAAAGATGAAAAAGTTAAAAATTTTTTTCACTTGCATGTGATATTAATAATATTGTTGGGTGATTTCTGCCTTTTGTTGGTTCATGTTTCTTTGAAATGGGTTCTGCATTATAGTGACTTATTTAGTATGTCTTTTCAAGCGTTAGTATTTGTAATTACCACCAAACAACATTTTCCCCCTGATGGGTCTGGGTAAGAGAGAGGGGAGAAGATGCTGACAGGATTGTATGATTTTCAGTTGTGAGTGATTAACAAGGTTATTATAACTGTAATTATAAAAACCTGGTACTATAACGCGTCTACATCTAAATCGAGCCATCTCATATGCAGGAAGTGGGCATCTCACTACCATCAAAGGAGACCCAGCAGCGAAGCACATGATTTGGACCCCAAGATCCCTGCACATTGAGTCTCTTCAACTTAGGGACAGAAAGCTGTGACACCAGAAGCATGGCAGAGAAGCAGCAGAATCAAGATCCGAAACATGAGACAGAGTAGTGGGCTTCCCAGCCCATGTAGCAAGAAAAGCTGAGTGACTTTGGGCTGAAGGCGTGCTTGCAGAGTGGGGGCCTCTAGGCACTTAATTGGGGGAGGGACTAGGTTTGCTGAGGCTTGGAGCTAGAGTTGAGTGCCTTCAGGTTGAGGCTTGTGATCAATGGATTGGTGTACCTTGTGGTGTATCTTATCAAAATCCCTAAAAGAGCTTTTTAACATGGCTATAACTGAGGAGAGGCTGTTCTGACTGGATCACCTGTCCCCTGAACACTTATGACCCTTAATTATAATCTATTGGCTTCTCTAATAAACCTCATACTCTGAGTATGATGGCTGGGTGGTGGCGGGGAGAGGTGAGGAAGCACACCTCATTAAAAAAAAACTACTTAAGAAAAAGTTTTCTTTTTTATAAAAAAACATAAAGATATTTACAGATTGTATCTGAATGCTAAAACTAAAGGTTTTTTTTTTTTTCTATTTTCTATGTTTCTATTTATAATGAACAAAATTCATCTTTATTTTTCAAAGGCCATCTTAGGTTATAGTATATGTGACTGAGCAGCACATGGTGCTCCATTCAAGAGTTAATAGTATTTAAAAAAGACCAGAAATAATGTAAATATTTATTTTTCTATGAAGAACTAGTAAAATGATATAGGCACATCTATACAATTAAATCCTATGTAGCTCTTGAAAGAATGAGAAAGCAATTTATATATTGATATGGGAATTTATTCAGGTATATGATTAATATATAAAAGTAACCAGTGCATACAATAGCTACCACTTCTATAAAAAGACTTAATATTGTATATAAGTTTCTCTAGAAGGATCACTAAAAAGAGTGAGGTAGATATTAGTACGGTGATATGGAAAATCTTCTAAATACATTACTAATTGAAAACAGAAGGTATACAATAGTGTGTACTGAATGTTCCCACTCTGTAAATAAACAAAAGCACTCTATACATAGTATGTATCATAGGAAACCAGCAAGAGTAGTTTCCTCTAGAAAGGGAGTTTCTTCAAATAATGATATAATAAAATGTACTCTCATAGTCAGAAGAACAACTGAGTCACACTTGGTATGAGGTACTAAGATACGGAGCACACAGAATTGCCTACCTGTTCAAGCATCACTATGGAATCTTGGAGCACGCCCTTTAATCGATGCGCTTGATCCTTGTTCTTTGGAGGATTTTCTGCTCTTGACACCACATCAGAGACTAAACTGCAAGAACAATACAAACCCCCCCCCAAAATCACACCTCTTACCACCAAGTCAATTCCAACTCACACCCAACCCTATAGGGAAGAGTAGCAGTATCCCAAGGCTAAACGCTCTACTGAAGCAGACTTTCACATGTTTCTCTCAGGGAACAGCTGGTGGATTCAAATGGCAACCTTGTGGTTAGCGCTTAACCACTGTGTCACCAGAACTCCTTACAAGAACAATATTATCTTCAAAATCAAAAGAACAGTTTTCTGATCTTTCACATTTCCAGAACTCTTCAGTGCGCCCATAAATTTGCAAACAAAACATAAAATTAATCAAAGAAGCAAACAAAACAAGCAGTTTATGACTGCAAGATAGATCAAAATCTCTGGAACTAATAATAAAGTTTCTTCAGCTACAGAATTAAACAGTATGATAATATACAGGTTGGAGGTAGCGGGGAGACTTACTTTAGCGAGTTCTCGTCTTTGTGGTGGAGATGGTAAAATGACTGAGCAGCATATTCTATCTTGGACAGCTTAATAAACAGTGTCACATTCAACAAAACGAGCAACAGCAAGCTAGGCAGAGAAAATCGTACCCGGTTAATCCACACTTATCCAGACCTAGAACATTGGTAATGTAGAATATACATGCAAAAGCTTTAAAAATATACAAAAATTATCCCTATTTTCTTTTGCAAAAGAATTACTTTAATTATTAAATAATTACTTTAAGTACTAAGTGGATGCTGAGAAAGAAAATGTAAGCTAACCAGAATGACAAAGTTATCAAATAAAGTGAGTGAGGGTTATTTCTAGTACTGCTCCTTTTTGCTAGGGATCACAGATGATATTAATGTGGCAACCACTGGCTTAGAAATCTATCAGGTAAACTTTCAAGATCATTTTTAGGATCCTTCAGGTTAAGCAATTAGATAGAGCTGTAAGATAATGTGCCAGACTACAAAGTCAGTTTGAATTGCAAGGTTGGAGGTTCAAACTCACCAGCCACTCCTTGGAAATCCTATACAGGGTCACTATGAGTCAGAAGCGACTCCACAGCACTTAACAACAACAACAATGCTTCATTTCAAACGGAAATGAAGATCAATATGGAGCTGATCTTAGATCAGCATGTGCCTCTTACTCCAAGTAGGGGGAAATTTACCATTCAGAAAAATTTTCTTCTAGTTCATCTTGGACAAAGGAAGTATCAGATCCCAATTTACTTTAACGGTGTCATATGTAAAATGTTACATGCTTAAATGGACTTACTCTATTGGCTTAACAACAGCCTTTCAAATGAATAGATACAGAACTCACTACACAAGAAAGCAAACATGTAAGTAACATCATATCTTTCCATGTATTTCTTCTGTTAAAATATTGATTTGTCCTTAACAATATATAGCATTCAATTTACCAGTCCACAAGAGGAACTTTAAAAAAGAAAAAGAAGATCTGATCTATAAAATTATTAATGGCATTGAAATGAGATGTTGTTGTTGTTGTTAAGTGCCGTGGAGTCGTTTCCGACCCATAGCAACCCTGTACAGGGTTTCTGAGGCTGTAAATCTTTACGGGAGGAGAACGCCTCATCTTTCTCCCGCGGAGCGGCTGGTAGTTTCGAACTGCTGACCTTAAGGTTCGCAGCCCAATTCTTAACCACTACGCTACCAGGATACAGATCAACATTTTACCATGAGTTGAATTTTTTGCAAGTAATGCAAATGATTATAACACAGTCATAGCAAATCTATTTAATCAGAATATTAACACCTTTCGAAACTCCAAAGGAAAAATAAACATTTTCTCTATTCTCAAATCTATAATTAGGAAAAACAGCTTATATAACAGTTTTAGTCCAAAACCCAGAGTATATCACTGAGTCAGAAACAATTCAAAAAAATCGAACAGACTACCTCAATATTCAACTAGAGTCATGTAGGTATTCACAGTGTGGCTATGACTGGCGATGTAGATTCATATGGAATACTCTGATTCAGACTAATTGCCCTAGTATTTCCCCCCAGGAGTTCCTCACATCACTTCCTTCAGAATAACCTGTGTGTATGTTTTAAAAGGGACTCCCAGTGTGGCACTGTAGGATCAGCTCTGGACTGTGAACCACAAGGTCGGTGGTTCAAATTTATCAGCTGCTCCTCAGAAATCCTGTACAGGGTTCATTATGAGTGAGAATTGATTCAATGGCACTTAACAACAACAATAAATGTTTTAAAATATTGATTCCTAATCCCTACTCAAGACCTACTAAATCAATTATCTGGGAATAGGGCCAGGGAATAAGCATTTTAACAAATTCCTCAAGTGAGTATCATAGTAAAGGTTAAGAACCCATTGTAATCAAGTATGTAGAATAAAATAGTATTATTGGGACTTCACTGGTATATATATATATATATATATATATATATATATATATGAGCTCTGGTAGCATAGTGGTTACAAGTCGGGCTGCCAACTGCAAGGTCAGCAGTTCGAAACTACCAGCTGTTCCGCAGGAGAAAGATGAAACATTCTGCTCCTGTAAAGATTTACAGCCCCGGAAACCCTGTACAGGGTCACTATAAGTCGGAACCAACTCCATGGTACCTAACAACAACAACATATATATATATTCCCTTTATACTGGACGAAATTCCCACAAAAACCTATGGTAGAAATCAGATTATTTTAAAAAATAAAGTCATTTAGCGGATATGTACTTTACATTCCTACAAATGTAATGATTCTCAAGATATGAGGGGGCTTCAAAAAGTTCGTGGAAAAATCCCATTACCCTTTTTATTTTTCCACGATCTTTTTAAAGCCCCTCGTAATTCATATATCAAAAACTCTCAGATTAATTTGTGGCATATGTTTTACAGGAAAAAAAATGGCCAAATATTGGCAATTTCTTCACAATAATAAACAATTCTACTCAAATCCTTGTGTACTTAACAGATAAGTACACAAACAAAATTTAACATTTGAAACAAATACTTACAAAATACTCATCACCACAACAAGTGGGGTGTAATAGCTTTCCATTTCTTTTTTCTTTTCTACAGGTAAACAAAAGGGGGGCTGCATTAGTTTTTCAGAATCAGGATTGTGATTACAAAAGCTAATTTAATATTCATTGGAAAAGAAGTTTCAAAAATAATTACTTGTAAGGAAAAGGGCTTTAAGGTGAATTCCCTGTACCCCTTTTCTGATTTCTGATATCTTTAGTCTCAGAAAAGCTGAAAAAGTAAAGCCTACATTAAACTTTCAAATTTGACCTATATTACAAATTAATTTAAAATAAGCAGTTCAATACATCATTTACAATCTCTAGCTAAGTACTATCTTTGCAAATAATATTTGAGTTAGGTTTATGTAGAATGTGTCCCTCTTTTAAAAAAAATACATTACCCTCATCTATTCCCTGATGCCCAAACTTTTAAATTACAAAATTAAAGAGCCATTAGTCATGAATTATGGATAAACATATTTACACCAACATATAAACCTTAGAAGAGGATTTAACAATGAGAATAACAGTAGAGACAAGACATCTTCAAAACTGAGAGTGGGGGAAACCAAACTCAAATTCCATGTTTGCAATTTTGCTGGACTGGCCCTGACAGTGCAAAGGATTGAAAGCACATACTCACTGTGGTCAACTTCAAGGCAGAAATGACTGAGGCAGTCCAGGAGTCCGGGAGCGTGGGGAGAGTGGTGGGGGCTGGTGAACTAGGAAACAACACTCAGTCTACTACTAAGCTACTACTAAGCTGCAACCAACTGTTGCAATGAAAGGATTTGGGCTCGGGGCTATCAGATCTGATTCTTCAATATAAAAGTGTCCAATTTTTAAAAGGCCGCTTGGGCCAAAAAAAAAAATACTTCTATGGCTATATGGGAGTCCTGGTGTGGCGCTGTGGGTTAATGCACCAGACTGCAAAGACGTTTGAACTGCGAAGTCAGCAGTTCAAGCTCACCAGTTGCTCCTTGGAAACCCTATACAGAGTTACTACAGATCGGAACCGATTTGACAGTACTTAGCAACATAGCTATATGCCTAACATTTTGAACAGCTGCTTTAAATTTATGAATTAGTTATCTTTAAGGAGTTTGTTGTTAAATGCTATCTAGTTGGTTCTGACTCATAGCAACCCTGTATAGGGCTTCTAAGGAGCAGCTGGTAGTTTGAACCACCAACCAGAAGGTTAGCAGTTCAGTGCCTATCCTACAGTACCACACCAGTACCCCATAAGAACTTAAAGTTTGATAAACATCAAAAATGGAGGAGACAATGGACCCCCAAATCAGAAAAATGGGGCATCAGCATAAAATGCCTTCAGAATCGCTGTGCATCCTTTGAGAAAATTTATCAGAACTACGCCTTTGGAATCCCAAAACACTGTCATCATTAACCTTCTAAGCTGACATCTTTGGCCAGCAGATTCCTTCATAAGGCACTATTTTGATTGGACTTTTTTTGGAAAGCACCCTAAAAAGACTAAGATAAGTGTATTACTGAGAGAAGTTGTCTGCAGACATCCATTGATTACAAAGACATGCTTAAAAACACTGTGGAATAAATCTAAGCATGTATTAACTACTATAAACTTAGTAACAATTATTTTAATTTAGCCACCCACATATTTAACATACTTAACCTATCTATGTATATGCTTTGTTTTTACTAAATTTTTATGCTTAGCAAGCCTGGTTCTACCCTAAAAAGAGACAATTGTCAGCTGTTTTCTTTTGTTTCTATATTGATTCATTTTATTAACTTTTGCTTTTTAAAACATATATTTAAAAGTATATTGGATTTAATACAGACTATGGTGTGAGATAGAATTCTTCAATATTGGCTTCAGTGTGTGGTGTGTAAATTTGAATAACAGTTGTATTAACCTATCTTCCTTGTAGGCACATAGATATTGTATGACAACACTGTATATCAATATATTCTTTTTGGAAAAAAAAAAGGAGGAGAGAAAGGGAGATCCCCTAATTATCCTTGTTTATATACAAGCCTTGTTTATATACAAGAGGCACAATCTGCTTCATAAAACAAAGCATTTGTTATCTCTGTTTACCTGTAATATCTCCTTTGACATCTAAATCCACTTCTCCAGAAGGGCGATGAGAAGAAACTTTAGGAACTATTTCTGCTGTTCGGTTGAATGTTCTCCTTCTCCTTCGTAGGCTGCTAAGTTTTCCAGGGTCTTCAATTGACTGGCTTACAGCAGATTCTTCCATTAACAAATCTGACTCTAACAAGAAAATATAAAAAGAATCTTTATTGAGACAGGGAGAAGCCTCAACTATAAGACACAAGAGCTTTTTTGGTTGTTAATGTCTTATTTCCTTTTTGTTTTTCTTTAACCATTGGCCATTTTCTTTATTCCTTAGGTTCTTATGGCCTAAATTCAAATCTTACTCTTAATGAAAAGCTCTAGAGAGTACAATGACCCAATAATGAGGTTTCATTATTCTAGGGAGACTGAACTGTATTAATAAATGATGGCGTCATTAAATTTGTCATGTGCTATATTAAATATTAATGTAACTATTTCAGTTACGGAAACAACAGACTGCCCACTTACACTGGATCATTAGAAGACTTCCCAAGATAGGTTATGGTACTTGCCTGTCAACCTCAAAGGATGGAGTAAAATATAATTTCGAATGAGTGTTTATAAGAATGGAAGCACTAGTAAAGAAAATCTGCAAACAACCCAAAAACCTAGGAGTCTTGTCATCTGTGTCAACCTTTTCCTCCTCCAGACTTTTTTTATTAAAAACTCAGTATTCAGTCACCAAACTAATTATTTTTAAACTTATATTTCATATATTTTATTTAATCAAGTAACATGTTTTTTAAATCACAAATAATGTTATACACCACTCCAGTCTTTGTTTTTCTAGCTCCTATTAGCTTTTAAGTTGTCATTGTAAAGTGATTTCTTTTCATGCAATTATGCAAGGGAAAAGTTGCTTAATACATTTAAAAAAGAGAAAAAAAGGGGTAGGGAGGCTTAAATGAACCAGACCTATTTCACACAGAAAAATGCACACAGACCACTGAGCTTATACCAACTCCCTATTTTCTATATGCTTTTAAATTCTCCATTTAGTATATATCATATGTTATTCCTTTGCAAAGTTGTACAAACATTCATTTTTATATACAATTACACTGTTGTTGTGAAGTGCCGTCAAGTCGATTCTGACCAATAGCGACCCTGCATAGGGTTTCCGAGGAGCAGCTGGTGAGCCCGAACCACCAAACTCATTTTTGAGTTTTATTTTCTCTACTACTGATTAGGAGTTTAATAACAAAATAGCCAAAGGAAGAAGTGTAGTGGTTATGAGTCGGGCTGCCAAGCTCAAGGTCAACAGTTTGAAACCACCAGCGGTTCCATGGGAGAAAGATGAGGCGTTCTGCTCCCATAAAGATTTACAGCCTCGGAAACCCTGTGCAGGATCACTATGAGTCAGAACCGATTCCACAGTAATTAACAACAACAAATAAGATCTTAGACACCTGTATTAACAGCACTGGATTGCAAACCACAAGGTCGACCATTCAAACCCACTAGCTGCTCCTCAGACACCCTAGACATGATCGCTATGAGCTGGAACCAACTTGATAGCACTTAATAACAACAGCAACAACAATAAGGCCTTAAATTCCCCTGAGTTGATTGACCACAACTTTTATTTAAAATTAATTATGTTTATGTATATATGTAAGGAGCTCTGGTAGCTTAGTGGTTACTAATTGGACTGTTAACCTCAGGGTCAGCAGTTTGAAATTACCAGATGTTCCGCGGGAGAAAGATGAGGCTTTCTGCTCCCGTAAAGATTTACAGCCTTGGAAAGTCTGTACAGGGTCACTATGAATCAGAACCAACTCCACGGTACATAACCACCATGTATGTACATATATGAAGTCCTGGTATGGAACTGCAGAATAATACACTGGACCACAAGGTCAGTTTGAACCACAAGGTTAGTGGTTCAAATCCACCCACCACTCCTTGGAAACCCTACACAGGGTTGCTGTGAGTCAGAACTGACTCAATGGCATTTAACAATAACAATATGTACACATGTATTTTTAAATTATGGATATTTTAAGGAATATCCAACAGAACAAAATCACTTTTCCCCATCAGCCTCCAGTTCCTGCCTCCATCAAGTCCATACATGCACATAATGCATTGCTAATGAGGCTGAATCTAATAGGGAAAGTGTGGGCCTAAGTGCTCTCCAAAGTTTACGCAGCTTAGTGAGTACATACATGTGTATATCAGGTTATGTATGCAGTCCCTCCCTATAGGCAGTTGCCTTGGCTCCTTGCAGAAGGAATTAAATGTCACAACGTCTAGCTCTGTGATCCTGGGCAAGTGCCTTAATTTTCCTATATCTCAATTTCCTCTTATTAAAATGGGGAAAAATAATACTTCAGAGGGTTGTTATGAATATTAAATGAGTTAGTATGTATAATGCACATGAAATAATGTCTAGTATAAAATAAGCACTATACAATATTTGTTAAATAAACTGTAAAGTTTTGAAGTTCCATAAGTAGTCGAACAAATGGATGGAGTAGCTGGAACTATTTCAGTGGGAGTTGTTCCAACATCATCTACCAGTTTTTGCTTTAAATCTAAATGAATAATCAGTTTTGATAATAAATGCTGTCTTTACCAAAGTAGAGAAATAAAAAAAATTTTTAAATGTACAAACCAAGCTGTTTAAAATAATTTTCCAGTGAACTCCAGGAGTTCTTCTCAATTAAAGATCTGATGAGGCCCCATGGCTGCTTTCTGTATTTCACGTCTGTGGAAACCCTTAACAGGATAAAGAAAAAAAGATAATGCATGCATTAAGAATATATACTCAAAGGCCAGACTTTAGTTACATTAACATTGCAATGAAGTGTAAGATTTTATTCTGGGGGAAAACCACAAAAAAAGATTCAAAACCATTGAGATTCTAAAGGAAAATTCATTTATTGATTCTTTCTTCAAAAATTATTTAGTGCTCTAATCATTTCATCATTTTTTCCTTCTAAATACTCACATTTCTTTCTTCCCTTTCTCTAGCCTTGATTTTTATTTTTTACCTAAATAGCAAGAAAGGTTCAAAATAAATTCTAAACTTTCTGAATACTTTTTTATGAAAAATCTCTAGTGATCCTAAATTAGTTGAAAGTAACTACGTAAGTTGGAGTAGGTCAAGCACAGGACAACCCATCACTGTCACCATTTCTCATGGCAACAAAGTCAGTTGCTGGTCACTATGCTGCTGTTAGCTACCATTGATTCATCATCCCACGGTGACCCTAGGCACAACAGAATGAAATGCTGCCCAGTCTTGAGCCATCCCCCTGATCAGTGTGGACTGGACTGTTATGATCTACAAGGTTTTCACAGCCTGATATTTGAAAGATTCTAGAAACTTCTTCCTAGTTTGTCTTAGTCTGAAAGTACCCTGAAGCCTATTTACCATCATAGCAACACTAACAGACAGCTGGTGGCTGCACATGGGTGTGGTGGTGGTGGTTGTTGTTAGGTGCCGTCGAGTCAGTTCTGACCCTGTATAGGGTTTCTGAGGAGCAGCTGGTGAGCTTGAACCACCAAACTTGCAGTTCAAACGCCTTTGCAGTCCGGCACATTAACCCACAGTGCCACACCAGGACTCTTGGGTGTGGTGGTGGTGGTTATGTGCCATGCAGTTGATTCGAACTAAAGTGATCCTGAATAGGGTTCCTGAGGCTGTAAATCTTTATGGGAGCAGAAAGCCTCATCTTTCTCCTGCAGAACAGCTGGTAGTTTCAAACTGCTGACCTTGAGGTTAGCAGTCCAACTTATAACCACTATTAAACTGGGTTCTCCCACATAAAGGGTAAGAATTCTGCCACTGAAGCCTAGGAACTCCCAGCCCTCTTGCCATTAAACCGAGTCATGGAGCTAGTTCTGGTCAATGGATGATTAAGATGATGAACTATTGTTCATATTCAATTCTTAGCTCTTTCTTTCTACAGCAAATGAAAGACACTTGTTTTGGATTATGCAGCACCAAAACATCAACACCTTCATTGGATGTGGGCCTTGAGTGAGGAGCCCCACCCCCCTCTGCTCACCACTGTTATCATTTGAGCAAAAAATAAAGCTGTCTTGTATACAGCAACTATAAAACCTCAAGAATAACATGTCACAGGAGCATAAGCAAACCTATCTTGAAAAAACACACTCATTTATGGTAACTTACCTTAGCCTGCATTTCTGTTTTGAAGATCGGAAGATACAGTATCTGTTCAAGGTATAGAAATAATCATGGTAGGGGACATCATGTGTCAGAACTTCTGAATCTACCAAATAAAACTGTGCTTCCCGACTTTCTTTATACAGCGTCTGCCAAAAGAAGATAATCTTTGCATGTATATGTTTAATATCTCAAATTTCTTGACAATTTAGAAATATATAATTGGATCCCTATTCAGAAATTACAAAAGACATAAGAAGAGTATATGTAAAGTAGAAGAGCCTTTTTGTTGGACTATGCTTATCTGTATACCTGCATAAGAAGTATTTGCCACCTCTGCCATTAATTTCACTGTACACTTATTTTTTGGGGCGTGAGGAATAAGAAATGGTATATCTTGTGTGTATAATTAGTTTATAAATAGTTTTAAATGCTTCTGTTAGAAGAACAAGTAACATTTGAACAGGAAAAGTGCCCCACTCCAAAGTTCATCAAAGCTTAAACTAACCACCCTTCCCAAAAACACTAAGGAGGAGGAGGAAACAATCAAACAAAATACAACTTTTTCTAACCAGGATTTAAAATGGCTGTTGGCCAGATCTTTCTAATTTTAAGTACACTTTTCCTAGCTATCCTCTCAAATAACAGTAATAAGGAAATATTTCCACAGTTATCCAAGAATCCCCAATACCAAACTATTGACTTCTTCTCAAATGTTTGAAAATCTTTTTAAATTTTTAAAAAGCTAAGGAAACAAAACCTTTTAAATACTGATGGACAAAAACTACAGGTGGCACAACTAGTTCAGATATGAATAGGTATTTTACATCTATCTGCAGAACTGGTACAATATACATTTCTGCACAACTTGGTCAAACACACATACACCACTGAAGTACGTTCAGTGATTTGTTGGTCACAGAATAAACCCACTGTGATTGAGATGATTTCAACTCATAGCACAGAGTAGAACTGCTCTATAGGTTTTCTGAGACTGTACATCTTCATAGGAGTTCAGTGCTTAGTCTACAATGCCACACCAAAACTCCTACAAAATAATAGAAGCCTATATAACAGTAGGAAAACCATCATGTTGAACTATGCTTATTCACAACAGCCATTTAGTTATTTGGTTCTAACCCTTGATTGTTGTTGTTAGGTGCCATTGAGTTGGACTCATAGCAACCCTATTACAACAGAATGAAACACTGCCGGGTCCTGGGCCCACCTCACAATCGTTGCCAAGCTGGAGCCCACCTCACAATCGTTGCCATGCTGGAGCCCATTGATGCTGCCACTTTGCCAATCCATCTCACTGGGGGTCTTCCTCTTTTTCTCTAATCCTTCCACCTTAACAAACATGATATTGTTCTCCAGTAACTGGTCCTTCCTGACAATATGTCCAAAGTATGAGACGAAGTTTGGCCATCCTGGTGTCCAAGGAGCACTCTGGCTGCACTTCTTCCAACACCCATCTATCTGTTAGTTCTTTTGGCAGCCCATGGCACTTTGAATAGTCTCTTCCAACACCATAACTCAAAAGCATCAATTCTTCCATGGTCTTCCTTATTTACTGTCCAGCTTTTGCATGCATATGAAGTTATTGAAAATACCACGGATTGGGTCAGGTGCACCTTAGTCCTCAAGCTGACATTTTTGCTCCTCAACACTTTAAAAAAGGTTTTGTGCAGCAGATTTGCCTAATGCAATACATTGTTTGATTTCTTGACTGCTGCTTCCATGAGTGTTGATAGTTGATCCAAGAAGAATGAAGTCCTTGACAACTTCAATCTTTTCTCCATTGATAAGAATGTTGTTTATTGGTCCAGTGGTGAGGATTTTTGTTTTCTTTACATTGAGGTGCAACCCATAATGAAGGTTGTAGTCTTTGATTTTCATCAGTAAATATTTTAAGTCCTCTTTACATTTTCAGCAAGCAAGGTTGTTATCACCTGCATTATCATAGGTTGTTAATGAGTCTTCCTCCAATCCTGATGCCATGTTTTTCTTCATATTATCCAGCTTCCCAGATTATTATCTCCACATATAGACTGAATAAGTATGGTGAAAGAATACAACCCTGGTGCACACCTTTCCTAATTTTAAACCATCTGGTGATCCCTTGTTCTGTTTGAACAACTGCTTCTTGGTCTATGTACAGGTTCCTCATGAGCACAATTAAGTGTTCCATACTCATTTTCCTCAATGTTGCTTGTCATGATCCACACAATCAAAAATCTTTGAACAGTCAATAAAGCACAAGTAAACGTCTTTCTGGTTTTCTCTGCTTTCAGCCAAGATCCATCTAACGTCAGCAATGATATTCCTCATTCCACGTCCTCTTCTAAACCTGGCTTGAACCTCTGGAAGTTCTCTATCAGTGTATATTTGAAGTCATTTTTGAATTATCCTTAGCAAAATTTTACTTACATGAGATATGAATGGTATTGCCTGATGATTTCCACATTCTGTTGAGTCACATCTCTTTGGCTGGGCACAAATACGGATCTCTTCCAGTCAGTTGGTGAGGCCTTCCAAATTTCTTGGCATAGATGAGTGAGTGCCTCCAGTGCTATATCAGCTTGTTGAAAGATTTCAATTTGTATCCCATCCATTACTGGAGCCTTGTTCTTTACCAATGTCTTCAGTGTACCTTGGACTTCTTCCTTCAGTATCACTGGCACTTAATCATATGCTACCTCTTGAAATGGTTTAACATCATTAATTATGTTCTTCCCTTTTGGTTTTCTAACTCCTGGTCTTTGCACATTTCGTTCTAATAGTTGACTTTGTCATCTCAAGCTACTCTTTGAAATTTTCTCTTCAGCTCTTTTATTTCCTCATTTCTTCCATTTGCTTCAGCATATCTAAACTGGAGAGCAAGTTTCAGAGTCTCTTCTGACATCCATTTTCTTTCTCTTCCTTCTTTCATTTCTTAATAACCTTTTGCTTTCTTCCAGTGTGATGTGCTTGATGTCATCCAACAACTCTTCAAGTCTTTGGTCATTAGTGTGTAATTCATCATCTCTGTTCTTGAGATGGTCTCTAAATTCAAGTGGGATATATTCATATTTTGGTCCTTGTGGTCTTGTGCTAATTTTCTCCAGTTTCAGTCTGAACTTGCATATGAGCAATTGATGGTCTGTTCCACAGTCTGCCCTGGCCTGATTTTGGCTGATGATATGGAGATTTTCCACCGTCTCTTTCTACAGATAAAGTGAATCTGATTTCTGTGTATTTTATCTGGTAAGATCCATGTGTATAGTCATCTTTCATGTTGTTTAAAGAAATCGCTGGTCTTGAAAAATTCTATCACACCATCTCCAGCATCGTTTCTATCACTAAGGCCGTACGTATTTTCCAACTATTGACCCTTACTCTTTGTTTCCAACCTTTGCATTTCAATTGCCAGTAATTATCAATACATTACATGTTTTATCAATTTATTATATGTTTGATCAATTTCAGACTGAAGACGTTGGTAAAATTCTTCAATTTCATAAACTGTTTAGTTACTTTGAAATACAGTTTGTGTTGTTGTTGTTGTTTTGTGCCATGGAGTCAGTTCCAACTCATAGCGACCCTGTACACGGTTTCCAGGCTACAGATCTTTATGAGAGCAGAAAGCCTCATCTTTCTGCCGCAGAAAAGCTGATAGTTTTGAACTGCTGACTCTGAGGTTAGCAACCCAGTTCGTAACCACTACGCTACCAGAGCTCCTTACAGTTTATGTAGAAAACGAAAATATCCTGCCTCTGTCTTACGATTTTCCACTTTTCTGAATAAGGAGTGGGTTCCTCAGCACTTCCAAAAATGATCAACAAGTTGTTTTTGTTTTTAGAAAACTTTATTAACCCAGGAATTTTTCACATTTGATATGTTTTAACCCAGTGCAGTCATTATTTCTTCATATGTTCAAAGTCTCCCATCTGGCTAGTGGAATCCCTCTCATTGTTGGCTCTTACATCTTTGGACAAGACTCTAAGCTTTTTTGGTAGCTTTTTCTGGTGTGCCAAGTTATCCATATTTATCTGATACATTTCCTGTCCCCAATAAGAAATTAGCCACTAAGGCACTCTGGTCCCTTTTGTGGGAAAATATAGACTAAGGCTTGGATATGACAGTATTCACTGCTACACTGCTACATCCTAAGTCTTTCCATAAGAACTTATGATGTATTATTTTTAAGAGAAAAATACATTATAAATTCATACTGATGTATCCAATTAAAATGTAAATTTACAAGGTGTTTCAAGTCTTGGCTGTTTCACTTTTCTCTTACTCTGAACATATTGGCTTTTAATGGCATTAATGTAATTGTTTGCTTAATCTTTTCTCTCTATATATGGTATAGTTTACAGTTTCTTTGCTAGTTATTCCCTCCTCCCCTCCATTTTTAAAATATATCCCACTAAAGATGGATAGTCAAATTTATCTTGTTAAGTCAATTAAAACATCCTCTTAAATGTGGTCCAGCCAATAATTTGATATCCAGTTAGGTTTATTTGTTCCACTTTTTTTCATTTTTAGGGACTAATCCTTTTTAATATCTGCTTTAATTTTCTTTTGTTTCATAATTATGCAAAACATTTCCATGGTTTCAAAGTTATAAAACAAGGTACATTCATAGGGATCTAGCTGTCAGCTTTATCCCTTTCAGCCCCTATTGTTGGTCGAGTCAGTTCTGACTCATAGCAGCCTTGTATAGCATTTCTGAGGTTTTAAACCTTCGTGGGAGCAGAAAGTCTCATCTTTCTCCCAGGGAACAGCTGGAGGGCTCAAGCCTCTAACTTTGTGGTTTGCAGTCCAGTGCTAATTGTATAGAGCCACCACATGCCCTCAAGCTCTTCTAGTAGCCATTTTTATTATCTTGGTTTTCCCTCCATTCTGTATGCCTGTCCCTATAGATAGTCTCTTCTTAAATGCAGATAGCATACTAACCATACTTCCACGCTGGTTTTTTGTTGTTGCTTTGTTTATACATTTACATGCTTTGTTTTTACATTTAACAATATATCCTAGAGATCACTCCACAGCAATTTATAGAAATTACCTCATTCCTTTTGATGGTTACCTAGCATTCCAATATATGAATATACCATAATCATTTCAATTAGTTCTCTATTGATGGACAGTTGGGTTGTTTCTAGATTTTTGTACTTCAAATAGTGTTGTATGAACAGATTGCACATATGTCATTTTATGTCTTACTAAGCATTCTTGTACAGGGTTGTATTCTTTCACCATACTTATTCAACCTGTATGCTGAGCAAATAATATGAGAAGCTGGGTTATATGAAGAAAAACGTGGCATCAGGATTGGAAGAAGACTGATTAACAACCTGCGATATGCAGATGATACAACCTTGCTTGCTGAAAGTGAAGAGGACTTACAATATTTAATGAAGAAGTTCAAAAAGCACCGTCTTTGGAATGGATTACATCTCAATGTAAAGAAAACAAAAATCTTCATCACTGGACCAATAAACAACATTCTTATCAATGGAGAAAAGATTGAAGTTGTCAAGGACTTCATTCTTCTTGGATCAACTATCAACACTCACGGAAGCAGCAGTCAAGAAATCAGATGGCATATTGCATTAGGCAAATCTGCTGCACAAAAGACCTTTTTAAAGTGTTGAAGAGCAAAGATGTCAGCTTGAGGACTAAGGTGTACCTGGACCCAAGCCATGGCATTTTCCATAACCTCATATGCATGCGAAAGCTGGACAGTGAATATGTAAGACCATAGAAGAATTGATGCTTTTGAGTTATGGTGTTGGAGGAGAATACTAAAAGTGCCATGAGCTGCCAAAAGAACCAAGAGATAGAAGGGTGTTGGAAGAAGTGCAGCCAGAGTGCCCCTTGGAGGCCAAGATGGCCAAACTTTGTCTCTCATACTTCAGACATATTGTCAGGAGGGACAAGTTGCTGGAGAAGCATATCATGTTTGGTAAGGTGGAGGGTCAGAGAAAAAGAGGAAGACCCCCAACAAGATGGATTGGCCAAGTGGCAGCATCGATGGACTCAAGCGTGGCAACAGCAGTGAGGTTGGCCCAGGATCAGGCACTGTTTCCTTCTGCTGTTCATAAGGTCACCATAAGTCGGTGCCAACTCAATGGCACCTAACAACAACAACAACAAGCATTCTTCGATCTGGATTCTAGAAGTGCTATTGTTGGATCAAAGAATAAATTCATATGTAAATTTCTGTCCTGGTATGGTGCTGCTGAATAAGTACTGGACTGCTAACCATAAGGTTGCTGGTTCAAACTCACCAAACACCCCTTGGAAACCATATACAGGGTTGCTATGAGTCAGAATCAACTCAATGGCACTTAACAACAGCATATCTATTTCCCAATAGAAAGTGTTGTCAACCACCTAGATGTTTGCCAGCCTGCTGGTGACAGAAGGCATCTTAAGAGTATGTGCTATCTTTCTTTCCTTTACCTTCACTACCCCTTTTTCTTTCTTATGTTCTTACTATGAATGAGGTTATGTACTGTAGTCCTTTAATAGGCTGGGTTCAGTCTGCCAGTCTGCCACACAGATTTTTGCCTTAAAATAGAGGCAACTGTTTAATCTGAACAAAAACAACCATAAAAACCTAGGCTCCCTGTCAAATAAAAAATACATGGAGTCATACTATTTCCGTCTGTTTAACAGCTATGCTTCTAACCAAGACGAATCATTATCTTCTATTTTCTGTCTTCCCACATGCAAAATTGCTTTCGAATATTGGCAGAGTAGACATACCTGCTTTTCAGTGGCAGTGGTGCATTTTCCAGTAAGTGGATTATTAAGGACTATGGTGTAGGTCATGGTCCTCAATTGATCACCTCCAGATTTTACATTCCAGGGAGTAGATACTATATCTAATCAGAAAAAACATAGATAATGAATTACTTGTAAAAATTTGAAGGAAATAACTATGGAATCAAAGAGGTAGCTTTAGAATTATTGGTGTGGTATTGTGGGTTAATGTGCTGGACTGCAAAGTCGGTTTTAACCACAAGGTAGGTAGTTCAAAGTTCACCAGCCGCTCCTTGGAAACCCTATACAGGGTCACTATGGGTCAGAACTAACTAAATAGCACTTAACAACAATAACAATATCCTTATAACTTGTATATTATAAGTTTAACATTAAAGAAAAGCGAGATGAAAGCACATTTTCTTATATGTGACACATTCCCCATCTTTTTTTCTTTTTTGAAAAGATAAAAATGAAAAATTGGCCCATCTGTGGGCTTCTTTTTACAATCCCAGTACCTATGAAAAGAAGTTAACGGTACCAGCCTTATCAGCACTTCAATATTCTCATCACTGAGTGAGGACAAATCTTGAAAGGCAGCTTACCTGTCATTATATAACAGTAAGATCTGGATCCTAACTTATAGAGAAATATGTCAAATTCACAATGTAATATTAACAGTTTGTCTGCTGACATCTTTAATCAAAGCAGGGAGATGAAATATAAGTTACTGCATAACCTTTTCTTTGTTAAGAAGAGTACAGGGTCATCCCTCTGTTTTGAACTGATACAAGTTACTGTTCAAAATTCTCTTTTCTTTGCTTTGAAACAAAACACATAAATAAAAACAGACTTTGAACAGAAATACAGCTTTGGAATACAGTACTACCCAGTGAAGGGCGTTGCATATAAGGCAAATAATAGAAAAGTACAGGGAAGAATATCATGACCCCTCTTCAAAGACCTACTACTGTGTTAGCACAAATGGAGTGAGGCAATTACTCAGTATGTTTGGCTGCTACTCAAACAGTCTTAAGCAGAGAAATCCCTAGCTCATCCATGATCTACCACCAAAAGAATGAAGCAAAACGTTATGATAGACCCAATTTATTTTATGCAGCAAGATAGGCCCAGAGATTTAGTGGGGGATCCCGAAGCTATTTTCTGAGTATCTTGTAAATCTTACAACTAAATTTAAAAAGTAACATCACAAAGGATACACAAACCAAGCCAGAGTGGCTAGAGGAACAGAAAATGCTTCTTGAAAGAAAGACCAGTAGGTAAAGAGCGGGTGGGGAAAAACCAGATTGTTTGGCTATTACAAGAACAAGCAAGCTGTTTGCCTGGGAGCCATCAAGTTACTTCAGGATAAACCCCCTTCCAAGACTGAAACTCAAAGGGAACACATGAGCAGGCTTATAAGCTCTGTGGTGACTGCACTGATCTACCTATGAATGGAAGTGGGGGAAAGACAGTAAAGAAGACATGGGTTGAGCTTGACCATGTTCCATAGACTCCTGTCGACCTGGAGATGAGAGAGAGAAAAGGAAGGGCTGGTCGGTCCGAAGTTTGTAAAGACTTGGGAACCCCTGAGCCCATGGACACTGACCTAACCACGGAAGGCTAAAGCTGAGAGTAAACTCCAGCTGATATGAAGTGGGGGAGGCACACAAGAATGCCTGTACCCATTTGATCTAGCCTGGGTGCTTGATGACCAAAGCTCAACTACAGGAAGATAAACAAATTCGATACAGGGAGCAAGTGTAAATTGCTACAATTTGATGAATCTGACCTTATCTTAAAGATGTAGTAGCACAAAATACCAACCAAGAGGGACGGAGTCTTCAAATCAAGGATCAAGCATATCCCCTCAGTACACTGGGTTAATAGGGACATGCAACTCAGACACTGGCTACCTAAAATGGAGTGGGGGCTATAAGTGGTTGTTTTACACATTTTCTTGAGGGAATTTAGTTTCAGAGTGAGTAGGGAAAGGTAGAATCCCCATTGAATAGTTACCATCTTGTCTAGATGGAGCAGGTGAAAGGAGATGGGGATAGTATTCTTTTGATTTAATAGTGAAAGGAAGCTCTGGTAGCGTAGTGGTTACGAATCGGGCTGCGAACCTTAAGGTCAGCGGTTCGAAACTACCAGCTGCTCCACGGGAGAAAGATGAGGCTTTCTACTCCCGTAAAGATTTACACCCTCGGAAACCCTGTACAGGATCGCTATGGGTCGGAACCGACTCGATGACACTTAACAACAACAACAACAACAACTGTTATCATGACTAATTGCTATTGTCACAATTGCAAAGGTAGAAGATGTGTAATAAAAATGGAGGAGTAGTTCATCTTACATTTCAGAACAGAGGACCCTAGGACCAGCAAGAGGGAAGAGCATGAGTGGAACGTGGGATCTTAACCAGAGAAGCAGCAACACCAGAGACAGAGGCAGAGGTGATGGCATGGAAAGATATGAGCATCTGAGGACTCTAGACTCATGGAAAGATAAATACTGTGTGCTGAGAGGTAGAGGGCTGGTTTGCAAAATGTGTCCTTTGGTTGTTTAAACGATTGTGCACTCTTTCTTGTGTGTTTCATTACAACAAAATAAGATGTGATTGGTTGAGTGCAAAATGATGTTCTGCCAATGTAGACTATCACTCAATTCACAGTAAAAGCTTTAAAAAAAAAAAATCACAAACCAAAGAACTTATTATCCAGGATTTACAATAATAATGATTGATTTAGGTATACAATAATGATTGCCATTTTTGTTAGTTTTATCCCAGGCTTCTTATATAAGGCACACAATTAACTCTAAAATACTTTTCAGAAGATCACTTTAGTCATCTGTCAGCCTGTCTCAGGAAAATGGTATAAAGAATCCACTGTTAATCAGAAGCAGGGAATTTAAAGATATTACTGAGTTGTGCTATTAGGACTACACACTATTCAATAACACAATCAATGATTAACAAAGACAAATGAAAGGTATCGGCATTCACAAATAAGTCATACGTGTATTTACCAGCAAGGCCACTGAGCATACTACTCCACATGATTGAGTTAACAGTGCCTTGGAATAGTCAATCCTCCAAGCCTGCAGTTAAGCTCATTGTAAAATAAAAAACCTAGAATGGAATTGTAAGAAAAAGGGCAACAGCAAACAAAAAGACACATGAACATTTCTTTATATATTGAACTGAAGTAATAACAGTGGGGATTACAGGACAAACACTTTAAGAATCTTTGATAGGACAGTTCTAAAACTGGTGAATCTAGGTGCAGGTAGATGAGTTTCACTAAAGTATTCATGAAACTTTTCTGAGGGTTTAGATTTTATCAAAGTTGAAAAGTTGGGTAACAGAGACTTAAACCTGAACTTTTCATTATAAAAATAATTTAGAATCATAGAACTGAAATAAAGATGTAAAAGAATAGCCATTTAAAAATTCCCTGATTTAAATACATAGATCCAGCAATCACCATTTTAATACTGGCAGTGGATCCAATTCACAAATAATCATTTAATTATATAATTTTTTTCTTTAATATCTTTTTA